TGAATATAATTATATAAACAGGGATTCTGGCCCTAGAAATCTGTATGGTTGAATATATGACGTCATGACGTCCAAATGACGCAATGTGCGTTGGTTTTATCAGTCGAATTTTGTGGTATGGACCTCTTGAGAATTTTTAAAAGACATTTGGTTTCTAGAAATTATTCCGTTACTTTGCAACATGGCGTTAATTCTCTATGCATCCACTAGTGTTGCGATCCTCGAAAATCCATATTGTTTAATCTATGACGTCATGACGTCTAAACTTCGTAATGTACGTTAGTTTTATCAGTTTTATCTGATGGTATAGACCGCTAAAAGATTGTTAAAAACATTTGAATACAGAAAATTATTTCGTTACTTTGCAACAAGGCGTCTAATTGAAACATGTCGGGTGCGGTCCTGGACGGCATTCTTGAATCTTTGACGTGAAGATGAATCCATGTACGTTGATTCATTTCGATAGTATCGACCACTTAAATATTATTAAAACTCATTTGGTAGTTAAAGATTAGACGATTATTTAATGAAATGAATACAGAGTCTGAAAGGTTGTGGTTTGGTTTGACATACGTATGTGCAATGTCTATTTACATACTGTATGCGTGCTCATTTGCATATGTGGGACAGTAGAATGCTTCCGCGCCTGAGACGTATCCGAAATAGTGCCTACCATTCGAATCGAAGGCTCAATCGAAGGTTGCGAATCGAAGGCCGAAAGGAGGGCTAACTTTAATGTGGTTTAAATAGATTACATGTATAGCAGTACCATTATATGAAACACTGTAATTATATAATTTCCTCATTAATTATGCAAATTAAGTCCTCATTTGCATAATTTGCATTTAATCATGTACAACTGTCTCTCAGGTACCTACACACCAAAAATGATGAAAATACGTTGTTTCAATCTGGACTTATTGGCTTTGAAACTAACCTGCAGTTCCAGAACAAGCTGTTAGGGGGACATAAGGTTCCGGGTCGGAGTTTAATTCTGACCAGAGTCTAAGTAAGTGCGCAGTAAATCGCCGGAAACGTGACTTTGAATGGTATGTTTTGGCCGCGATATCCCTGAAATCGTATTATCTGTGTACATATATTTGTATTTTCTGAAAAGCCTGTTAGTTGTAGCCTTTATAGGTGGCGTAATGTTGGTGGTCCAGCGAAGACTTCCTGGTATTCGTCCGCGCGGATGGTTATGTGGCCTTTTCGCCTGACCGCCGGGATTGTACGTTCTATATGCGTTCTGGGTGTGTTCGGGCCATCGAAGATAGCGATAAACTTATCGCATCGATTTTAATTAAATTCAAATTTTGGAAACATTAGGTTCTGAGCTTCTTCGAGTACTAAGCCGTTACCCTGGGAAAATTCGTTTTTTCCATGCAGCCGTGGTTAAAAATGACGAAAAAAATTACCCCTTTTTTAAAAATGTACTTTGATGTGCCTTATTTACCCCTAAATAAATTGGGTGCAGAAGATATCAATCAAGTGTATTGATAAGCGGCACGGCACCCCTTTCCACCAAAAGAGTGAAAAATTCCGACCCGCGTTTAGTACAGAAATGATAGCCCGTCGGGCTGAGGGTGTCAAATTGCTCGAAATACGGAGGGAAACTCCGGTCCGAGACCATAACTTACGCCACTTATTCCTGACAGGATAAGCTATCTGTCAAGTCCAAAAAGTCAAGACCATAGCTTGTTCAGGACAAAAGATACAAAAACCGGATGTTCTGCTGCAGTACCAAGGTCATCCACCAGGAGGCCCATACTTGACCTTGACCTTTGTCTTTCCAAGACTTACCATCATACCAAATATCATCACAATCCATAAAGGCGTTCTGAAGTTATGCTGACTACAAAGTTGCGGAAACACACAGACAGACACACGCACAGACAGACACACACATAGACAGACACACACACAGACATACAGACAGACACGCCAAAAAATACCTCCATTTTTCATGGAGGTAATAAATGTGTATCAGTGTAAGATTGATACGTATGTGGTTTAACTTCACAGATATCGACGAATGTGCAACTGACACAGACAACTGCCACACTGAGGCAACCTGTACTGACACAGAGGGTAGTTTCATCTGTACCTGTAACAACGGTTACATCGGGGACGGAGTAAACTGTTTTGGTAAGAGCAAACATATTTGGTTGCACATTTGTTCACCCTTCTGCTGTTAGGAAATATCATTTGCTGGTAGAGTTAGTATCTACAATATGTTCTTGTTGGTTCATTGAAATACAAGAGTGCCGAGTCCTCATTAATTATGCAAATTAAGTCCTGTAGTCAGCATAACTTCAGAATGCCTTTATGGATTGTGATGATATTAGGTATGATGGTAAGTCTTGGAAAGACAAAGGTCAAGGTCAAGTATGGGCCTCCTGGTGGATGACCTTGGTACTGCAGCATAACTTCCGGTTTTTGTATCTTTTGTCCTGAACAAGCTATGGTCTTGACTTTTTGGTGACGGATAGCTTATCCTGTCAGGAATAAGTGGCGTAAGTTATGTCCCCCTAGCAGCTTGTTCTGGAACTGCAGGTTAGTTTCTGGTAAAAACTTTCAAAGCCAATAAGCCCATATTGGAACAACGTATTTTCATCATTTTTGATGTGTAGGTACCTGAGAGACAGTTGTACATGATTAAATGCAAATTATGCAAATGAGGACTTAATTTGCATAATTAATGAGGAAATTATATAATTACAGTGTTTCATATAATGGTACTGCTATACATGTAATCTATTTAATTTGTGACAGGTAGAACATCAACAGATACCAATTATGCAAATGATGACCTAATTTGCATAATTAATGTGAAAATTCTGTGAATCCTTATTGGTGAATGATGGGAATTTTATACCTCGTAACATGTGTAAGTTACTTAAAGGTTTACATCGCTATGCATATATTATGTTAATGTAGAATTTATTTGCATAATGAATGAGGACAAAGCAAGCCCATATTTCATGGAGGTATGAGATCTCGGAACTCTTGTTCAAAATGTTGGAAAGAGGATAATTAAACTAAAAACCGTTTGAAGGATCGTTTTCGAAAATATCTATAACTTGTCTGTCGTAAAGAAAGGTTAACATCATTTTGTAAAGATATGAGCACGTGAAACTCGGGTTATAAATCTTTCTTGTATTTTCAAATGGCAGGACGGGTTTAACAAACTAACACAAGTTTTACTTCATTCCAACGTTATTTATTGAAATGAGGTATTCTACCTACACAGATAAGCAAATAGCAGATACAGTCTTTTGTGTGTGTTTTTAGCCCTTACTAATAGTTCTGCTATGTTTCCTTCCTTTTATTTGCCTGCATTGGCTTCCCCTAAAATTCAATCTAATACTAGAAAGGCCGACATTTGCTTGAGAGCAAATGCAGCAGATGGCTTCACCCTATCCCCCATACCGAAAATGGATCTATCCTACGATGGCTGCCAATAGTCTACACCCCTATGCAGAAATGGAACCTTCCAATGCCGGAAATAGCCAAAAAGCCCTATTTTACATAACTTTAAAGTGGTGTATGTCAAAATCGTGAATGACATTCTTTGGACATGTGTCCAAGGTATTCCCATACCAAATTTCAGGTCATTCGGATTTAATATTAGGGCACAGGAGCCAAAAATGTACATTTTTGGTCCGAAAATAGCAAAAAAGCCCTATTTTACAAAATTTTAAAGTGGTATATGTCAAAAGCGTGAATGGTATTCTTTGGACACGTGTCCAAGGTATCCCCATACCGAATTTCAGGTCATTCAGATTTAATATTAGGGCAAAGGAGCCAAAAATGTACATTTTGGGTCCGAAAATAGCCAAAAAGCCTTATTTTTCCCAATTTTAAAGTGGTGTATGTCAAAAGCTTGAATGACTTTTTGTAGACATATGTCCAAGGTATCCCCATACCAAATTTCAGGTCATTTGGTTTTAGTACCTGGGAACCAGATCTCAATGTATATTTTTTGCCTGAAAATGGCCAAAAAAACCAAATAAAACAATTTTTCAAAAAAATGAAAAAAACGCGTCGGGGTATTTGCCCACTCTACCTTCATGCCAAATTTCGTGTTATTTGGCCGGAAAATGGCAGAGATGAATCCATTTAAAGAAATGGCAGGAGAAGGAGGAGACGAAGAAACATGAGGGAACACAATATGTCTACACTACTTTGTGGTGACGTTGGTTCGTACATGTCTAAAATCTACAGACGACCGATATAGATGTACACAAATATGATGACATCACTCCAACTTCATGGAAATTATGAATTCTTGTTTGGAAGTTGTCGTAAATTAATTGTAATCATCGTTTGACTGTGTTAACTGGGTATCCACAATTCTACATTTTCTCTATTCCACATTATATCATTTAACATAAGACATGGTGACGGCATACTTTTGAGCATTTTTATGCCTGCACCGATCGTTTATGGTAAAGAAGTGTGTCTTACGAAGGGTTTCTGATGATTTGTTTCCTGTACATATACAAAACACCCTGGATGGCAGTAAATACGACAGCTATAACAACCCAGAAAACATTCCAAACAACCGAGGAAACGACAATTCAAACAACCCACTTTACAACGGACAAAACCACCCGCGGCCGGGTGACGACACAAATTCCGACGACCTTCCGAACGGCAGCAGTAGATCCAACCACGGTCATCTCGACAGCTCTAACAACCCAGAAAACCACCCTGCCGACGTCAAACGTACCGACGACTTTCACAACAACGACCTACTCAACGACAGCAATAACCACAGTAACCACAGCCATCCCGACGACGCCGATGAAAAACACGACAACAACTAAAACCCCTCCAAGTAAGTAAACTCTTTTACAATGTAATGGTTTATATTGTATACTAGTAGTAGAGGGGATTCATTCCAGCTCAAGCTAACCGACATCACATTCGTCCCTCAGAGAATCTGGAGCCGCATAGTTCCCGTTAAGAACTTTTATTTAGCCTGTCACACTAATCTAATATTTTCTAAATACGACACACACACACACAAAAAAAATTTTTCTCACATTCGGTGTAAATACTACCACTCCATTGTGTTTTCTCTCAATGGAAAAGTCAAATAAAGAAGTTGATCTTGAAATTTGAATTGTATATAACCCTGAACTTACAACCGTGCAATACGACAGTAACAAATGGATAGATCATGAGATATCAAGACCCGGCTTCAGTACCATGACAAGCTGCCAGGGAGCCAAACATCTAATCATTTCAAGGACTCATCAAGACCTACCAGATATTAAGACAATTCATTTCAGTCTTTATGACTCATAGTTTGAGTTATATTGAGAAAATATGACGAAGGTAATAAGTAAAAAAATGCCTATTGTAAACTCTTATCTGATTATCTCTTGATGTTCAGTAATTATGATGTTAATTTTTATTCTATACATTTTCTTTTTGTACTTTGTTCAGTAGTTGTTGTCATACGTTGTACCTTGTACAATTGTCGTGCATTTAGGTTCTATATATATTCTATAGTAACATCTGTTCTTGCTCCCGCAGCCACGTGTTACGGCGGAACGGTGACCGTAATTGACACCTTCGTCAACTTCGTGAACCTGACCTTTCCAGACTCTGCCGCAGACACGCATGCGTACTCAAACGAAACGTGTGCCAACAACACGGAAAGTGGTGAGGAACTTTGAAGAACATGTAAATGTAATGGTTTGCTGTACTTCGTGTAATGTGTGTGTATGTTTGGATCTGATGTCTCGATAACATTTTTAAACAACAGCGTCTTTGACAAAGTTGGTACTGACAGAATCATCTTCCTACCTAAAGCTTAATTAAGACAGATGATGAATGAAACGTTTTGTGATTTATTGTGTGTTAATGTGAATGTCTCACTAGTCGTTGAAAATCAGTCTCATTAATGCCATGTGAGATTTTAAAAAATGAATTCATTTCCAGAGACTGTCATTCTCATATACGTAGAACTGTTCTGCCATAGCCAAAGCTGTAGGGCTTATATCAATTAGGATTTTACCATGATCAAAACTGACTGAAGGAGGCAAGAGAAGTGATTTTTCCCCACATCTTTAACAATGAGGTGCTGTAATATACCTGGTGTGATTAATATCTGTTGTTTGTACTTTCAGCGGGTATTCCGTTGGCGGTCCGAAGATGTGTGGGGAGTGTTGAGACCGGAGTTAGCTGGGCCAGTCCAGAGCTGCTGGACTGTGGGCTGGACTTGTCCACACTGGCACAGGTACAGCAGACGTTCATAATGCGGGTCGTTGGACTTTGTTAGACCAGGTTGAAGAAAGGTGCCATCCTATTATAATTTCGGGTATGGCAGTGTTTTTTTTTCTTAGATGAGCTGTGGGTTTGTGTATCTTTTTGTCATGAAGTTGAAGGTTGGCAGCACTTGGGTGGGGAGCATGATTGACAGGAAATTCAACAGAAATTTGAAGGCCTCAGAATCTGGCCGGGAGCCGGCAAGAATTCAGGAAGCCGACAACTGACATCTCGTATGAGTAGCTATATTGGTTGGGCATGCATGCTTCAAAACAATCGTATTGTCCTATAAGGGATAAGGGTCCTATTACTTAACTAGATTTTTTTACTCAAAATGTTTTCTCTTGCAAACACCAGAGGAGACAGCACCACTTATCTTGAACGTTCATAATTTTTTCCAGGTTGCAGTAACGGCAGAAAATGCAGCAGAAGTTGCTTCAGACTTGCAGATCCTAACCTCCGCCGGGAGTTCCCTCATGGCCGAAAACATCGCAGACGCCTCCACTGTCCTGGAGAGCCTGGCGAACACCACCGGAGACGAAAATGTAGGCCGAGTTGCATCCAGAACCTCTCTTGTTTTATACCTTAGGCCTGAGCGGGCACAGATCTGGATACAGCCTGACTATCCATATCCGTACCCGGAAGATCTGTCAATCTTGGTGATTGACGGGGCAAGAGTATAATTGTTCACGCCCACAGTTCCATGAAAATTGCTTGTGACATTGTAACGTTATGACGACTTTGAGATTTATGGACATGCTTTTGTTTTGACGCATAGGATTTTATTCGGCTGTTGTCCACCTTTTGTTTGACTAAATGTAATCATGTTTGTCCTGTGTAAATGTCCCATTGGGCCCCATTGGAAGCAGCTTCTACTGGCTGAATGGCTACCCGGCCGTTGTATGATGAACTGAGTAAACATGTATGGTTTGATTTCGTTTTGCTAAATTGAATGAAAATTCACGGCGCTTTCGTGTAAGTAACAAGTCTTAATGGATACGGGCTGCATGTATGTCAGTATAGCAATATTTCAGACGATTTTATTTCATGAAAGCTCATATCTGCTTGAACCTCCAGGTCGGCTATTCCTTGGTCGTGTCGGTTGATCAGATCATGAACAGTGATGATGACGTTCTGTATCAGAGTCAAGCCAACAATCAATCTCTCTCTAGGTAAGTAATGCTGAATAGTATTGATTGGTCATTACAAGATCATTAAGGAGATACATTTATAGCTGGTACATTCTCATCGTGGATGTATTGTTCAGAAAATAATTGTCTTACAAAAGCAATAAAGGCTACATGTATGGTAAAATAATAACTTAATCATAATTCAAATTTAATAACCAAGAAGGTATAGACTCATTAGATCACGTTAGGTGGAAGATTCCTGTAAGTATTCGTGTCTCTACAATATGAAAAAGAATTTAAAGTATCATAGTAACGAATATTTCACTTTGTATACTACTAGTGGAATTTATTTGTGTTTTTTTTCTTCAGAATTGTGCGGGCTATTGAGCAGTTCAATGACCGAGTAAATCTGACATCAAACCGCTTCCGCCGCATCGAGAAAAACATCGGTGTGGAAACCTACCAGATCGGAGCTGCAGAACTGGTTAACAGGTAATTTTAGACATTGGCCACTACTGCCTCTCACTCACTCACTCACTCACTCACTCACTCACTCACTCACTCACTCACTCACTCACTGATCACTCACTCACTGATCACTCGCTCACATCTTCACTCACACGCTCACTCACTCACTGATCACTCACTCTCTCCACTCACTCACTCACTCACTCACTCACTCACTCACTCACTGATCACTCACTCACTGATCACTCGCTCACATCTTCACTCACACGCTCACTCACTCACTGATCACTCACTCACTCACTCACTCACTCACTCACTCACTCGCTCGCTCACTCACTCACTCACTCACTCACTCACTCACTCACTCACTCAGTCCCGTAACTGACACGTCGGACAGTCAAATCATCATTATGACTCCTGAAGTGCCTCGTTTGTTTTATTTCAGTGTTGGTTTCGCATTGCTTGACGGCAGTGAAGACCTTGAGGACGGGTTGGTGCGGTCCTATTCTGACTCCTCCTCCATCCCCACTGATCAGGTGGATGCTTCCATAGTCTTGCCTGCCGCCGACATCCTGAAGAAAAGTATACCTGGTTGGTTCATCTTTTCTATAATCTTTTTGTATGTATTCAACTTACTCCCCTTCAATGCGGGGATCGCTAATAGATGTTTTCACACCCTTTCATAGGGTGTTGAATGGCTTGTTGTTTATTTCTGACAGAGGAAATTGCTCTGTAAAAGTTGGATATGCGTAATGTTAAGTAAAATGTGCTCTCCTAGGGCACGCGACAGCTGATACTGGTATATAGCCTGTGCTAACTATTTTTGGTACATTGTATACACAAGCGAAGCATGCGCACCTGAAGGCTTTTGGCACAGAGTAAGTTTGTCTTAAGAAATATTCATGAATCGTCTCCTTTTGTTAAAAGCAACTTTATTATGAGTAAATGAGACGAAAATCGAGGGACAATCTGGTGAAACACCTAGGCCCCAGACCTGACATGACGATGAGTAACTTGTTATATTTAAAGACATTATTTTCAAGAAAAGTGATATATTCTCTGGTTTGTATTTCCCAAGATACCGGCGACATGCAAGTTCGTCTGAATTTCATCGTCTACGGAAACAGCCGGTTGTTCCAGTCCAACCAGACCTCAGCCGGCACGACAACCAGGGTCAACAGCAGGGTCATCGCCAGTAGGGTCACCGGCTTCGAGTTCAAGAATCTGTCCAGCCCGGTAGTGACAAGATACATTCCTCTTGTAAGTAAATAGTTCAATAGGACATACTATCTTTAGAAGTCTTGCTGGCAGATGAGTATGACTATAAGTAAAGTGTGTTTAAAAACTACAATGAAATTTCTGAAGTAATTTACGTAAATGATAACCAGTACTCTATAGACCCCATCTATCAGTTCTGACATTGCTATTTTCATTTTGATCTTTAGAACATAATTGACACAACGAAAATAGAAGCTGCAGCACATTTAAAGATTGGAGATCAAATGCAAAAGAGAAACTATAGCTGCCAAACACTTTTTTTTAAGAATTGTATTCGTCTGAAAGTGATAGTCTTCGTCAATGCTCCCAATCTCTCCACAGGTTCAAAACGGTACAAACACCACAGTGAAGAACGTGAGGTGTGTTTACTGGGACTTCATGGCTGCAGGAGGGACCGGCGCCTGGTCAGCCGAGGGGTGTGCCTTTGCCGGGATCGACAACGGCAGGGCGGTGTGCCACTGCAACCATCTTACCAACTTCGCTGTTTTGATGGTAGGTTTGTCAGCTTGTATATCAGAGTATTCAGTGCTTTTCATGAAAACCCAAGGAGTTCAGTATAAATATGTGGAACTATGTGATGGCAGTGTTAAGTTTGCTCCCCATTAAAATTTGCTCCCGAGCTGTAGCGAAGCTGCGTTCCACTATTTGTAGTAGCTATAGCTACTACTTGAAAAAGCATAATGTTTCACCTCAGTTGTGGTTGGTTGCTGTACCATATGCTTTTTGCTTTTTTTTATCTTTCCATCTCAGACGTGTCATAATCTAAGATGCTCGTACTTTTATAATGGCTGCGAACACTCATGTTTTATTTCAGGACATCTATGGCGGTTTGCAGAGCTTTGCCCTGGATCTGATCAGTACAATCGGCATTGCCCTGTCCATCACAGGCCTCAGCCTAACTCTCCTCTCCTACCTTATATTCAAGTAAGTTGTTTGGGTAGTTACTTCAGTCAGGTAATCTGTTTCGATGCTAATGCATAGCGGAATTTGTTCTCATGGACAGTCGTATTATCTAGATTAGCCTAACACATACAGACCTGTAGTTACATGTATGTACCAGTAGTTGCCATACCCTGTACCATGCACAATTGTTATGCAATTAAGTTTATCATGGAAAGATGCAGAGGAGGCACCTGCCATCCAGTCGAGATAGAAACTTGATGTCTAGGGTGCCTGTAGGCACAGGAGGACTGGAAGATCTAAGGTTAATTTTATCATATGTTTTAGGCAGCTTCGCCAGACCCGACCGCAGCACATCCTCGCCAACCTGTGCATCGCCCTGCTGGCAACCCTCATCCTCTTCCTGGCCGGCATCGACGCTACCCACTCTCCGGTGGGCTGCACCGTCGTGGCGTTCCTCCTGCACTACTTCCTCCTGGCTGCCTTCATGTGGATGGCCGTGGAAGCCTTCAACATGTATCTGGCCTTCGTCATAGTGTTGGGGGCACACGTTTCAAGACTCATACTCAAGGCTGCCATATTTGCGTGGGGTGGGTAGAATCGTATTTTGACTGTCATATCTATAATTGATTTACGAGTACACACTGGGAAGTTTTTTGTCGTTATGATGTTAATTATTGTTGCTGCTTGCACAACTATGAAGTTTATCTCCATCTTCATTATAATTTGGTCGTCATTAAGACATTGTATTCATTTGAGACATTGTATTTATTTGGGCAAATATCCTAATATACAGCTAATGTAATGCAAACTTCAGGTCTTCCTTTGATCATTGCCATCGCCACCTTGGTTGTGGATGTGCCCAGCACATATCCTTATGGACAGGAGACCTACAGGAGCACTGACATGTAAGTTATACTATCTAGATAAACGTTTTCTCCCATGTAAGCCATTCCACCATTTGACACAACTCCTTGTACATGTGTAGTCAAATGCAAGTTTTTCTTTTCACTGTCTGTTAGTTTCCATTCCGTCCACTTTAAATGTCTGTAAATCAGGGAAATGATGTCGATATAGTCAACGAGAGAAACATAAAAAAAATCAAATGGTCCCTTGTTACAACTTGTTCTCAAAGACCCATTCGGGTACGGGTTTCTATGTCGAAGTGGTTTCTATCATTCATTTTTATAGCAAAGTTCTCTATAGTCTTTATGAAGATATATAAGTGGTTGTGAATACTTTGCTATTCAATCATTCATCAACCTAATGAAATTTTTGACGGGATCCATTTTTCTTGCCTAGTTGCTGGCTGCAGGGTAACCAGCTGTACTACGGTGTCCTGTTGCCTGCCGGACTGGTGCTACTGTTTAACGTCATTGTGTACATCGTGGTCATCGGCAAGCTGGCCTGTGGAGGGAGGACCGACGGTCAGTTCTCAAAAATATGTTCCTGCGTTACGTAACGTGTTATGTTGGAGGCATTATATTTGTCTTGTGTCTGTCATTTCAATTGTCTTGAATCATGCATGTAATCGATAAGCCTTGCATTTCTTGCCACTGGAATATTGGCATCAATTGTAACTTTTAGTTCGGCATGCCTTTTCTGTTTTCTTAATCAAGACAGCCCCTATTAGTAACGTTACCTTCCCTGTAACACAACCTTTGTAGCCCATATTTACAACTCTAATTTTGATTCACTGCCACCTTTCCGCAGGACGAGTTGCAGACCCAGAGAGCGGCGCGACCAGGCAGAACCTGCGCATCGCCATCGCCGTCATGGTGCTGGTCGGACTCACCTGGGTCTTCGGATTCTTCATGATCAGGTCAGGAATCCAGATAAGTCATATTCAATATTGAGCCTGATCGGGTTTTGAGCTTCAGATATGAATTTTTCAGTCAGATTTCATTCATGCCATACCCGTCATCCAGGAAAACGCACATTTCAATGCGAAATTGCCAATAGTTGAGAACATTTGCTGTCCCTAAATCAAAAATTGTAACAAGATGAATTCTAACGTTCGAATCCATTATTCGAATTTTCGAAAGTGGCGCACACGAAACGCGTTCGAATCATTCTATGGAACGTTTGGAAGCCAGAACGACAGCGCCCGAACGTTATCGTGGGCCAGGTATGACATAAATATCAGTACAGACATGTACAAGTTAATTTCCTTTGCTGTGCTGTACTTATTCCAACAGGTATGTATGTTTGTATGTTCATTTACATTTTATCATTCCGTTGTGTTCCAGTCACGGAAGGATTGTGTTTTCTTACTTGTTTTGCATCTTCAACTCCCTGCAAGGATTCTTCATTTTCATCTTCCATTGTCTGAGGCAGAAGGAAGTGCAGAACCTGTGGTTCAAGTAAGTAGAACAGTCCAATTCTGGCTGTTTTAGTTGTCTACTTCTCCAAACACATAAGGTCAATGACCTGAACCAGACGGCTGCCGCCATGGTAACTAGTGCTGTAACAGACAGACACTGTATTAAAGGATGGTGGCCAGTCATTCATTGAAATAACGACATCGATACCATTATCTGGATCACAGAAAGAAAGTAGAGTTCATTGTAAAAAAGCATTTGTTTCTTCCTTTATTTACCCGAGCCTCTGATTCTTCATGAAATACTCAAATCCGCCAATTGCTGGCCGCTTTTCATTGAGGCCATGAGGGAAAAGATCAGGGTCAGACAATTGCAAAATATAAAAACATGCTCTCCTTAATTCACAGGTATTGCGGCTGTTGCGCGGGAGACTCTCAAACAACCACCAAGTCTTCAACAGGGAAGTCCACTTCCAGTCCGAGTGAGTCCAATTCGGAGAGTTCTTCGCGGGAACAGCAGAATGGAAACGCATCCATGGATGTCTATATAGAATAGCGTTTAAAGTATTCGAATGAAAGCTTACCTGGGTTGATAGAATCCACAGTTGTAGAGTTCAAGCTTTGTTCCAACACAAGAAAGGAACTCATCGACCCTCTCTGAACCGTGACGGAGGGAGATTCCCGCATTTTTTTTATTCACTCCAGGCGTCATCACGCTTCCGACGTCAGCAATTGCATCACACATATGATGAGGTTGACCAGATCGACCGAAAATTCATGGTGAGTGCCTTTCTTGTGTTGGAACAAAGCTTGAATTCTGCAACAGTGATTAAAATAATTGTAACACCAATGAAAACCTACAACATAAAAACTCATTGATCAATATTCAATATTCAGTGAACAAAGACGACTGTAACAAAATGTAAAGTTAGCAACAGTTAGAGTAACTCATTGTTAAAAAGGGTGACTTGAGATTTGTATGATTTGTACTCAGAAATGACATTTCATATATTATGCAAATTAGGTGTTTTCCTTATTTGCGAGGACAACATTATTTGGGGAGGTGTGGAGTAGTGGAAATCAACAGGGAAATACAACTATTACTTAGGGTGCATGTATTACTTTTATTTGTCAGAATATTATGTATAAAGTCACTCGTGAAAATCTAAATAACATTTAGTTTGTGGCAGTAACTTGTTCAGCACGTTCTACCTAGCCATATGTCCGACGGTAGAATGATTCAAACTCACACGCAAAAATATGTGACTGATGCTTTATTCATGAGACTCCTATCAAAGATCGAAACACGGAGAATCAGAACGAATTGCCGTGACGTGACGTGTGCTGGAGTCGATGTGACGTCATGACGACGTACGAACGACTCCGCCCCTACGGTGACGTGATGATGACGTGATGTTTACCAACAGCCGCTGACGTAACTGCTGACGCTACCCTGGCAGTTGTTCTGCCAGCCGTACCTGTCGGAGAGTTACAGGTTCTTTATTGCCTTGTACGATCAATGTTTGTATTTAACGCCTGCGTTACTTCCTGGATTGCACAGGCAATGTTCGTGCACAGGTTACCAACCCTATTTAGGGTCTCGTTAGGACTCGAAACCATAGCAACAATAAAAACGACAAAATACATGTGCAAATATTACATGTTAATACATACAAGGAACCAAAATCTACGTATTACTACGTATACCAATCAAACAATAAATAAGATACATATTATATAAACTTAAGATAAAACGGTGTCGTTACTCGTTACTAAAACGACAGGACTGAGAACTGACCAGGCAGAGAAGCCGTGACGCTGGTAGATCAGCTTGGCGCAGCGCACGTCATCAGCGATGTTGCTGTCACGGAGGTCTGAGATGGTGCGAGATGAGGAAAAGTGAGTACATCAACAGCAAATATGGTAATAACATGTGAATTGGCCACAAAAAAAAGACTAACAAATGTAATATAATGTAGCAATTGTAATGTTCAACAACAAGTATCTGTCAGGGTAGATACTCCGATCTTGGGGAACTGGTGATTCTACTGGTAGAGAACCCGATCGGAGTGTCTGTCAAAAGAAACTCAAACACTCCGATCGCGAACTCTATATTATATCTAACGGTAGAATCGCCGATTCTACCAGATCGGAGTCTCTACCCTGACATTGCATTTACATAAAATCACCGCCAGATTCATATAAATCTTACACCCATTTGCATTTGATGACAACTGGATTATCTATATCTACCAATGTTCGGTGGCGCTCATGATTCACGTGATTTGAACCATGAGACTTAAAAGAGGGCATCAGATGATATGTGGTGTATTTTCCCATGACTTACTGGAGCAGGAAACGCCGCAGTCGTTGTGTGGTCCGCCGTTGTCGCACCAGTAGTAGTCGTTGATCTGGAACAGCCCGTGATCGTAGGAACCGTCCCAGTTGGGGCCGCCCCTCACGCCGGTCCTGAAGCCGCTCTCGTGCTGCACCAGACAGATCCCTGTGGGAGTGCCATGTGTGCTTCGTCAGCAGTTGTTTTCATTCGTGCTTATTGCCTTTATTGTCAGATCTACGTATTTTCAATCAATCCCAACATTAGAGGTATATATGGAATACAACAAAATAACCTAAAAGCTATAAAGTCGTGATCAGGAACCCATGAGAAGAGTGAATCGGCGCTCGTAAAAAAGAAACCCATGGCCATCTTTCACATATTGTCGTTGTGGGCCTTTGTACATAGCACATCTTTCCAAAAGCCGATGCGTTGTGGGTCCTCTTACAAAAGATAACCAAATAGCGAGATGCAACAAGTGTGTGGCCTTGTTCGGAAGCTGATAAATCTCCGAACAGATATTTTGGTGGCCACAAGTCAGTACTAAATTGGCAACTCGGACATGAAATGTTAACTTTAAGACCGAGTACTTACAGTCGCCGGCATTAGACTGTGAAGTCAGACCACGAGACACCAGCTCTCTCGCCAGCTCACAGCGCTCGTAGGTCTTGGCATTCGCCACGCACACCAACCCCAGCAGAACCACAGCCAGAAACATCTTGGACTCCTCAGCAGCTTGTAAGGGACACAACAGGATCTGAGCTAGTCTTCGACGGACGAGTTATAACGGTGTAGAAGCCCTGTATTTATACACATTCGTGACCATGACTTGGCGGTGGCCGGATCTTTGCATAGTTCTATTTTTGCGTAAAACAAACGGAATCTATAAAGGCAAATATGGTTAACTTAGCAATCTGAAGTTGACCTGAAAGCCTTTCATTCTTAGCGCCTTGCATTTGAAAGTCATCTAGTTGTCACTGTACACCATGATTCACTATCTTCTGCTGGACATACGAAACCAATTTGAACGTGATGTGCGTCTTGGATATAGCAAGACGGTTTACACCTCCTTGGTTATAGGACAAAACATTGAATTAGCTCCTCTTCTATTCAACTGCAGATCCCGATCTTCTTAATGTTATCTTGCTCAACCAAACCGTATTAGGGATAAAGGTAGCCATACTGAGGGGGCTAGCAGCCATGGGGATGAATTTGTTTGAAAGTGGTTGACGCAGGCCATACCTGGTGCCTAGCACGTGCACGTTTACATGTATATGAATGTTTACGAAGGTTATCGTCAATCATAATGGATCAGCCCACCGGACACAGGCTCATGTGACCGACCAGGCCGGCTGCAGAGGTTCCCGCGCCGCACTCACGTAGACTTTGTTGGCAAACAAAAATATCTTCGCCAAAAGGTCGTGTTATGTTTTCGGGGGCTTTCTTGCGCGTGTCCGTCTGATAACACCATAACTCAAGAAGGCTTAGATGAGTTGTCTTCATATTACGTTTGTTCGTAGGCCTTAACAAGACCTCGAAATGATCAGATTTCGGACCACCTGACAGCTTGTAATTGTACTGCAGTGGGACTTACGTTTTTGATATGTCATGATCTGGTCATGTTAAAAGTGAGAAAATATCGTACCGTTTGGCAGGGTCGAAGAGTCTTACCCATAGTGACCTATGGCCGTGCTGCACGTGTATGTGAGGACTTTCTCGACGTTTGTTAAAAGTAGAGCGAGGCACGCGCAGGTTCTGCAGTTCAATTATTGTGACCTTGACAAATATCGCACCATTTGGCAAGGTTGAAGACTTATGGTCATGGTGACCTCTGACCATACTTCGATGTTATCTTTCTCATCAGTAATCGCTCTACACTAAATTCTAGATCTAAAGCTTTACAATGCATCACTGAAACTCAGCCATCCAACGGCTGAAACTTTGCGCGTGACATCTTAATCTTTTAATACTAAAAATAATGAACACGTCTAGGCTGCCGTACAAGGCAACATGCGAGGTCACATACAATTCCTTCTGTATCAAATCAAGTCTAACCTGTCCGTTCACTGGGGCCATTGAACTATGAACTTTAACATCTGACATGGGAGGAGCAACATTTCAGCAAAACAAACATCATAGCTTACGACAGTGTCACGTGATGTCTGATGCAATTACCCATTTCCGTGCACTTAGTAAAATAGTCAGACTCTCTGACAATCGGCTACATTGAAACTCAACGAACTACAACGTATTTCTCAATTTACTACGGTCTCGTGTGTTTATGTTGTCCACCCGAATAAACCTAAATAATGCACTGACTGTAACTGATAATCTGGTCATGACCATTACTTACTTCACCTATTGCTCCCAATCTGACACGTAACATTATGAGTATTTTTCCACCCAGCCACAAACCACTTTATGAACAAATTTCGATCGTAACGCGTTGTCATCGAAACCCAGAGGAAGCATTCAGTGACAGAATGTCTGTGTCACTATAACTGTTCTAGTCTTTTTAAACAGTTAGGAGACAGCAACGATGCCCGTTTTAATTGGGACGGCAACCATGCCTTTCCCCCATTAGAAGTGATGCATTGTGCGAATTATCCGTTTTGTTTATTCGCACAGATGATATTATTTGAAGAAGGTTGCGGAACTGTAAAAGACAACTTTCGACTTAATATTAATAGATGACAAATGTCAATTGGAAATCTAGATCTGCCCAACGGGACAATGATTCAACTCAAACGCAAGAAATCATCGACTGATGCTTTATTCATGAGATTCCTATCTAAACAGAACATTGTGGAATCGCAGTGATGACTATGCTGGAGTAGATATGACGTTATGACAAACGACTCCAACGGTCACGTGACTGGTGATGTCATGATGACGTTTCTGATGACGTGATGTTTAGAAGCAGCCGTTGACGAGGTTGGCGTTGTTGTGGCCCTGGCAGTGGTTGATCCAGCCATACCTGTTACAGAGTTACAGTAGTTTTTTTTTAAATTTCTTAATCTGTTTTGCAAATGTACAGACAAAACTAAAAGCAATGCACTACTAAGTATACTATTCAAACAATAAGCACAGTACTACAGGAGCGATGTATGTATGAAGTAAGGATAAAACAGTGTCGATAGTCGTTACAGCTAGGACAGAACTGTGAACTGACCAGGCGTTGAAGCCGTGACGCTGGTAGATCAGCTTGGCGCAGCGCACGTCATCAGCGATGCTGTTGTCACGGAGGTCTGGGAACGAGAGAAGGAAAAGTGATTATCAACTGCAACTATGGGAATAGCATGTGTATCTATTTATAATTTTATTTATCTATTTCATCATAAAACGGCTGCTGGATAGCCCATTCAGCTTGTAGCTGCTTTCCAATGGAGCCCAGCATACAGTTACACATGACAAGACATGATTTCATGAAGTCAGGCCTAGGTGGACAACAGTCAATAAAATCCGATGCGTTAAAACAAAAGCAGGTCCATAAATCAAAGTCGGGCGATACCAAAGGCTAACATCGAAAACAAGTATACATGACATTCACAAAAGATCACATTCCCACCATATTCACATATATGACTCATATATTCCACATTGATTCCACGTGGTGACAGCTGGAACATCACTAAAGGAACAGCAAACACCGAAACAGCGTTATCTACGTTCCATGTGTACATGTGATCATGGTTTACTCGATTTATGTTGTATTTATCCAAAAGTACTGTGGCGTCGGTGCCGCAACGGTTAGAACGTTGGACGAAAATACACTACGGATCTGGTGCGCTAATGTGTCAACATCAGCACATTTCCCACCGAGAGTCGTAAAAATTATTGTATCCATACTTACTGGAACAGGAAACGCCACAGTCGTTGTGTGGTCCGCCGTTGTCGCACCAGTAGTAGTCGTTGATCTGGAACAGCCCGTGATCGTAGGAACCGTCCCCGTTCGGGCCGCCCAGCGCGCCGGTCCTGAAGCTACTCTCGTGCTGCACCAGACAGATCCCTGTAGGAACGTCACGTGTGGTTTGTCATCACTTGTATCTGGATATCTACGTATTTACGTTTAATACCAACGCTAGAGGTAAATATAAACTACACAGGAGTAACCCAATAGCTAAAGGAGATTAAGTCATGCTCAGGAGTTGAGAGTAGTGAAGTAGCGCTCGTAAAGGGAAACACGTGGCCAAGTGATACAATATTTCGTTGAGGCTGAGGACAACATCCGCAGTGCCGACGGAATACATGGTTTCACAAAGCGTGTCGATCCAGAACCGTGCCAAAATGTGCTTAGAGGATTGACTGGTACTTGTTACAAGAAACCAATAGCACAGCTTCCCCATCTTGTCGTTCTGGGTCTTCGTAGTACACAGGGAAGGACAGAGGAACGCGAGATTCACTGAGTGTGTGGGCTTGTGGCGGATCTTTTGGCGGATATAAGGCAATATAGAATTAGAAAGAAAGTGTAAAATTACCAAGACAGTATCGAATTGGTAAGACAGTATCAAAATGGCGGGACAGTATAAAATTGGCAAGACAATATCAAGTTGGCTGAGCAGTATCCAATACACAACCAGCTGGGCAGACGAAAACAAAAATACCGGTAGAAAAAAAAAAGAAAGCCTGGTAGAAACGCGCGAAAACACGTCAAGGATAAGCTGAAGCCGAAACCTCGAAAAATAGAATTCTTAATGTTTAAATCTAGGGAAAGAATGGGCGTTGGCTCTGATGCCGTGGTGGTCACTATCACAAGACTGCCTGGATAGTGCTTACGTTGAGATTTCAGTACTTACATTCTCCGGCCTGAGATCGTGAAGTCAGGCCACGAGACACCAGCTCTCTCGCCAGTTCACACTTCTCGTAGGTCTTGGCATTCGCCGCCACAACCATCAGCAGAACCACAGCCAGCTTAAACATCTTGAACTCCTCAGCAGATTGTACGTACAGGACAACGGGTATCTGAGCTAGTCTTCGACGGACGAGTTCTAGTGGTGTCTGCGGCCTGTATTTATACACATTAGTGACCATGAATTGAAGGTGGCCGGATCTTTGCATGGTTCTATTTTTGCGTAAAATAAACGGAAATTTATTTTAATTTAAAGGCAAATACGGTTAGTAAACTGATCAAAGCTGACCTCGAAGCCACTTTATTGTTTGTGCCCTGAATCTGCATTTGTAGTTTTCGCTGTAAATCTTCCAGTCAGACATAGGGAGCCAAAGTGATGTTTAGGCCTCATTGGTTACAGGACAAACCATTTATTTTCGTCTCAGTCAATTACATTTATTCTGTATCAGTATCTGTATATGTATTTGTATCGACATAGCCGGTATAACCGCCCTTCGGCGTAACACACCAGCTTCGCAGGCACGCGGCGCGGCGGCAGCTAGCTATATTACACCGAACGACTTGTTACACTCAATCTTTGCAATTTGATTGCAGGAGTTGTTTAAAGATTTCTAGTGATGATGCCCCAACTGTGCTTGGTGGCAACGAGTTCCAGTCTACGATAGTTTTGGGGAAATACGAGTTTTTGAATAACTCAATTCTTGGTTGATAACTCTGATATTTGAAGGCATGACTGTTTCTTTTCTTTTCTGGGCTGGTATCAGATACTTAGTGGTTGGTACATCCACCAGTTTATTAGTCATTTTGTACATCATGCACAGTCTGGACATTCTACGTCTGTCTTCCAGCGCCCCCCACTGTAGGTTTCTTTTTATTTCCGTTACACTAGCATCCCTTTGATAGTTGTTCGTGCAGAATCTTACAGCTTGGTCCTGTACCCTTTCCAGTTTATCTTTGTCTTTCTTTGTATATGGATCCCATACTGTCGCTGCATATTCTAGGTTTGGTCTTACAAGCGACGTGTATGCAAGTGATTTTACCCTTGACCACAGATTGCGCCTAATCACGCACTCCCAATGTTTGTTTGGCCTTCGCAGTGATGTTGTTAACACACTTGTCAATGTAACACCAATGTGATACGGGTGGGTTTTTGTTGTTGCCAAAGCTTGACCACAGAACAGATAGCTAGTTATATGTCGGGTTCGTTTGTTTGATATATGCATAATGTAGCATTTTTGGGGGGTTAAACTGCATTAGCCATTTGCTTTGCCATTCTTCCAGCGTGTTTACGTCTTTTTGTAAAAGGTGTCAGTCATTCTGTGTAGACAGCTCTACATACAACAGACAGTCATCGGCAAATAACCTCACCTTTGAATTAAGCTGATCTGGTAGGTCATTAATATACAGGAGGAATAGCAATGGTCCCAGGACAGTTCCTTGCGGAACTCCTGACGCTACTCTAACTGGATCCGAAGCCTTCCCTTCCACCACTACTGTTTGCTCCCTGTTTGTTAGGAAATCTTTTAACCAATTTAGTTTCTTGAAACAAAAGGGAGCTTGGGATGTTGGACGTGGTCGAGGGAAATGCCGTGAGAATGACAGAATGTGTAGCAAGGCTATAGCTAGGGCCCATGATTTTAAGCACATAATTTTCTTTAGCTGTATTGTATCTTTATGCTTTACATGATAATGTTATGTGCTCAAACGAACCATTTTAGGGATGAAGATACACTTAAGGTCAAAGTAACTCCTCTTCGGAGGACAGAAATATTGGCATCCATGATGGAGCAAGATTTGAACGGTCCGAATCTGGTGGAATGTGGTTGAAGCTGGCGTACCTGTTCGCCAACACGTACTGGATGCCGGGAATGTTTACACGTTATATTAAGGTTATCGATTGGCATATGGTTATATAATTGGCAGCGAAGCCAATGATAACAGATCGGCCCACCGGACACAGACTCGGGTGACCGATTAGCTGACCCGGCCGGCTGTACATGTTCCCATGCCCGATTGTCGTATAGGCTATTGTGGCAAACAAACTTTACCAATGTAGCAGTTGAATTACCAATGAAGCAGTTATAATCTGAAATGTGATAATAAAAAATAGCGCATGTGTATATCATTGTGTGTTTGTCTCCATTACTGTATTTTTACATGTATGTGCCCAGGAATGTCTGAAAAACAGATCCGTAGAACTGAGACATAACGTTACTCTGGATAGATAAATAAACTGGGTGGGGGTTGGCAGGGCCTAGCTATTAAATTCCATACACTTATTTCACTTCTTTCACAAAGTTTCTCCGCTGAAATCATTAACAACTCATCATGCAATGTGCCAGTACTTCGTCACCATATCTTAAAAAAAGGAGCTGTGACGATCAAGATCCTGCACTGAAACGCAACTACCTAGAGGCTGGAAGCTTAAACGTGACAAAAATATCTAAATCTTTTACTACTTAAACTTTTAGTATTGAACACGTCTAGACTGCCGCAAGAGGCCACACATAATTACTTCTGCATTAAATCACGTCTAACCTCATTATTCACCAAGGTGAGTCACTATTAACTTTCACATCTGGCATGGGAGGGGCCACATTTCATCCCGACAAACATCACAGCTTGCTTAATATTGAAGCCAACATCTGATGGTTCAATTGCAAATTCACAAGGAAAAATAATGTGGCTCTGACAATCGGCTACATTGAAACTCATCGAACTACAACATATTTGAGTGAAGTACGGTCTCATTATAGGCTTATGTTGTCCACCTGAATAAACCTATTGTGAATAATGAATGAATGAAGACCTTTATTATATTGCACATTTCTGCCACACTTGGCTAGGTACAGGTCATACTGAATGGACACGGTTAACAGATACAACCTATCGTTATATAAATTCAACTTCTCATCGCTTTTCAGTTATTGCAGAAATAAACGTACAGATCTACTGTAACTGACAATCTTGCCTTGCCCATATCTTACCCCACCTATTGGTCCAATCTTGACACGTAACGCTATGTGTATTTTTCCACTCAACAACAAACCACTTTCTGAACAAAATGTTAGTAATTTTCGAGCGTAACGCGTTGTCACGAAAACAAAGAAGAAGCTTTCAGTGTTAGAAAGCCCGTCACTGATCTGTTCTAGACGAGTCTTCGCAAATTAGAGTTAGCAGCAATGACAGCAGCCATTCCCTCCCCCACCTATGCACTACATGTATGACTACGACTGGTAACTTCTCTACATAGCGAAGGAAACCTCCCTTTAAGATTTAGGATTTGCACAGTCAATGTATTATCACCTTTGAGGTACAAACCGGACGGCAACTTTAATAGATATTTCCGAGCGCTGATCCGGCACGGAATGACGTCGGCATAGAATGAAGCGACCTTTTCACTTCAGCTTATTGCGAGTCAGATAAAGGAAATGTCAAAGTGTCATCTCCCACATAGCATGCCTTTAATTAAGTGAAGCATACAGTGTAATGTAATTTTAGATGGTGCAAGTGTTTTTTTCGTGCACTTGGGCAAACAACTATGGAGGCACCATCTACTTTTAAAACGCCATTGCCGTTGTGAGTAAGACGTTAGTAGTCGCAGGCAAACTGGGCCCTCTATAGCTGGTCAACTCCCCATGTCAGCCGCATTATTTTCAGGCAGATTTCTACTCTATATTCAGCCTGCAATGAAATCTGGTGGAGACTAAGACGTTAGTACAAAATGTATACAAGAAACAATGGCTACAGTATAACTCATTGGTGATAACGGGACTTAATATTTGTACAATATTTAGTACCAGTATGCAGAGATGAGCATTTTAAATAAATTTTAATTAATGCATTATACAAATTATGTGTTTTACTTATTCACACAGACGATATGACTTGACGAAGGTGTGGGGTTGTGCTTTAGAAGCTTGTTAAATCTTGCAAATCTAGATCTGCCAGACAGGACAATGATTCAAACTCACAGGCAATATTTTTTTTCATCAAAGCTTTATTCATTAAGGCTCCTATGAAGGGCCGTGAATCAGAAGGAATCACAGTGACGTATGCTGGAGTCGATATGACGTCTTGATGACGGCCACGTGACTGATGACGTGGCTGATGACGTACTGATGACGTTTACCAGCAGCTGTTGACAAGGTGGGCGTTGTTGTGGCCCTGGCAGTGGTTGATCCAGCCATACCTGTTACAGAGTTAAAGTTCCTTTATTCCTCTGTTTTGCAAATGAACAATTATATTACAACAAAATTAATACAAGACAAAACTAAAAGAAAAGCATTGCTAACTTGCAGGTTTAGAAATACTTCACAGGTTAGCCGGTGGTCGACCTAAGCCAAAAGCAAATTTCAGGTTGCTGTCAACACCGGCTGTTTATTAATTAGAAGGCAAACCAATAACTTTGGTACAGAGTACATGACTGCGACAGTGGGTATTTCGAACCCTGCTAAGTATACTAATATTAATAAAACAATCAACACATTACGGATTGGTATATGTGTGAAATAAGGGTGAAACAGTGGCGCTAATTGTTACTGCTACGACAGAACTGTGAACTGACCAGGCGTTGAAGCCATGACGGTTGTAGATCATCTTAGCGCAACGCACGTCGTCAGCAATGCTGTTGTCACGGAGGTCTGAAAACGAGACAAGGAAAAGTGGTTGTCAACTGCAACTATGCGAATGTGTATATGTATAAGGGGCAGAGTGCTGTCACCACGGTAACTGGTGCTGTAGCAGACACCCTGTGATGTTGGGTTACATTATGTTGCAAGTTGCAAGACAGAATTGGTCATCATATATATGAAGTGTTTGAGCAAGGAGGTTAAAAACTAAAATTAAACAGAGCAGTAGTTTGTTAGGCTAGACAATGTGAAGGTAACATTATTCATTGTCTTCGTCAGAAGGACTATGAAATTGTCTCGCCGGAGTGTGGGGAACTGCGGATTTTGCGATATAACTCTGGAAGGCATGATTTGACGTCCATGATTTTTGGCAGGCATATTACCGCTGTTGAGGCCAAAGTCAAGTACAAGTTTCGGCTTCGTGGGGGGTCCGTGCGTCACGTTAGTGCACCTTTTGTGTTTGTGGCTTGTTAGCAAGATAACTCAAGTATTTGTAAAATGTTGATTATAATTCTTGGTGTGGTGCTTACTATTGTCGGGACCAAGGTTAAGTTCGTTACTGAGCTTCGTGGGGGGTTTCGTTGTGACTACAGGGGGCATTTTGTTAATTTTTCTTGTGAGCAGGATAACTTTTGTATGTGTGGATGGAAGTTAATGAGATTTGATAGGCATATTACTGTCGTGGTCTCCAAGATTGGGTTCAAAGATGAGAGTCGTGGAGGTCGTTATGTCCCCGTAATAGGACCTTTTGTGTTTAGAAATCCCCCACCTACATCTGCTTGGAGACAGCCGACAGCTGGATATAGCTGGGGAACCCCATAATGGGATGGGATCAAATGACGTTACATTGAGGGATTGTACTATAACTTCAGCAGGGGGAGGATAGGTTGGACATATGTCAGGTTATTTTCTACGGCCACACCAAGTAATTGCTATGGATGACGTCCACTGGAGACCTTAAATCTAATTACCTTAAATTTAAGGCAAGCGCGCAATAAAAACACGAAGGGGCCGAAAAACGAGATGCCTAGATTTGGAATATACTAACTGTAGAAGTACAAATGTTAGGACACAAAGAACACAAGAAACAAGTCTTCTATTTGTCATAAAGACAAATTAACAAAACAGCAGTAGTCACCCTGTTCTGATTCTTTCCTTTATAACATCTTCTCTTATTATATTTTTGCGGCGCTGTCGTGACACTTTCAACACAGTAAGAATTTCTTGAACGTTTTTTTTCAGTAACAGTCCAAACTCAAATAACGTCGGGGGGGGCTAACACGGGTGACGACGCATCTGTATAATCTGCGGCAAACCGTTTCAGGGTGTTCTGTACCATAAAAATAGTACAGAGATTCTTTTGTTCTTTAGACCAAATTGATTATTAAAAAGAGTGAAGAATACGCATGTTAATTTCTCTAGAACGATGTACCTCTGACGAAGACATGAAATCTCCGACCTCTAGTTTAATTTGCGAATGTTACCTTTCTAGTTTATATTGTTTTTATCCATACTTACTGGAGCAATGTGATGGAGACAATGTAAAGGTAAACATTATTCATTTTCAAGTTGATATTTTATCTATCTATACTTACTGGAGCAAGACACGCCGCAGTCGTTGTAGGGTCCACCGTTGTCGCACCAGTAGTAGTCGTTGATCTGGAACAGTCCGTGATCGTAGGAACCGTCCCCGTTCGGGCCGCCCAGCGCGCCGGTCCTGAAGCTACTCTCGTGCTGCACCAGACAGATCCCTGACAAGCAAGGATAGGTTTCTTAATGTTTGAATCTAGGAGAAAGCTAATCTAAGGGACCTCCGAAAAGTGGCCACTAGGACCACGTGATCCTTAGGCAGAGGTGTTTTACCATCGCAAGATTGCCTGAATGATGTTAACGTTGGCCCAATGTCAGGCACAGTTCTGGATACGCTTGGATTATCCAGAATCGTACCTGAACATGGTTCTGGATAAACCGCTATTCAACATCTATTGCATCGTTCAGAAGACGATTGTATAAAGCTAAAAAGAGCAAGAAGAGGATTCGTAAAGTTTATAACGAGGTGCAAATATATCACAAGCCTATGGGACCTCCAAAGAGTGGCCACAATGACCAGGGGGTCTCTTACGCAGAGGTTGTCACTAGATCACAAGATTGCCTGTCACAGAGATACGTTGAGATTTCAGTACTTACATTCTCCGGCCTGAGACCGTGAAGTCAGGCCACGAGACACCAGCTCTCTCGCCAGTTCACACTTCTCGTAGGTCTTGGCATTCGCCGCCACAGCCATCAGCAGAACCACAGCCAGCTTCAACATCTTGGATCTTGGATCTCTCCTCAGCAGCTTGCACGAGACAACGGGGATCTGATCTAGTCTTCGGTGGACGAGTTTAGCTGGTGTCTAGGCCCTGTATTTATACACATCGACCACCCGAAGATTACATAAAGATGTCCGGATCTTTGCCTGGTTCTATCTATCGAGGACAAACGTTGGTTATCAAGGTAAACATGTATGGTAAACCAAAGCCAGAAGCCTCTTTATTTTTAGCGCTGTGAATTTGCACATCATCATCTCTCTACCAGACTTGAGGAGCCGAAGTGATATGATCTTTGGTGATAATATGAAACATTTTTGTTAAGTTGGTTATTCTTGGCCAACGCTACATTTCTTGTCATATAATATTACTGTAATATGTATTAATCACTCATATGAACTCACATATATCAGTATCCACGAAAGTATGTAACCACGCGGACTGAAGAATTGTACAGTTTAGCCAAGTAGGGACAATAATTTGAATTTGCGACCTTGTATGACCTTCACTCTCCAGGACTATCCATAACCGCCTAGGAAGACCTGGTAGATACTGTATATACCAACACAGAAGCGTAAGCTTAAGAAGATATTATTACTATTTGATATGATTTTTTTTCAGTTTCTTACTCTACAGGTTGCTTAAGGTTACAGGTTAACCAAGGTCGCGAGCCACGCGCAGAATGTCTGTACCGTTACGAAGAGATGGGTCATGAGATAAAGTCACATGTTTACAGGGCCACCGAGGGATTGTTTTTTCCAAGCTAAAATAAGACACACGTTTCTGTACTGTGTGTTTTGGCTGGGATCGGCAGCAGCTGCTCAGGAAAGGCCGGGTCACCTCGCCTCACCTTCTAGAACTTTCTTAGGCAGGTACTAGTCGCGTGGCTGACCCGCTTATATGGCTTTTGTTTGAGGCTAGTTGTTCATGAACTGTCAGAGGTGACAGGGGCAGCTTGTACAGTATGACAAGCGAGAAATTGTGCTTGATTACCTCGCGCAAGCCTCTACCAGGCTTCGGGAGGCGGCTGTAAACAGTAGAAATTGGCCAAATAGAGAGATAACATGCCAGGGGAGTTGGTCCGCTAGAGAGTGCGGTTTGGGTGCGGCAGACTGTACTCTCTAGCGGTCCAACTGCCCTGGCATGTTATCTCTCTATTCGGCAAATTTCTGCTCTTTTCAGTCGCCTTCCTAGCCTGGTATATAGGCTACCACATCTCATTGCCGAGACTTTGGCACGTATTAAGCAGTTCTACGGAACAATGCGGCGAAATGTGCATATGTCAGCTGACATATTTGATGAGCCAGGATATTGAAGTACGGCCATAGGTGACCGTGGTCAGAGGTCCCTGCCAAATGGTACGACATTTTTGAAGGCCAAATCGACGATAACAATATTGCAGAATCTGCGCGTGCCTCGATCGATTTTCAACGAACGCCATCACGTCATCGCAGCTGCACTACCATAGGTCACCGCGGCCATGATGTCTTCGAATCTGCCAAATCAGGTATTTTCAAGGTCATATCTAACGCCTTGATGATCATTTGTCATAGCTGTTTTTTTAAATATGGCGACAGAGTACTGGCGTATTGCATGATGGGTATTCAGGTGGTTCCAGCAGCGAAACTTTGTTGGAGTAGTGAAATACACAATGTATCTCTGGCTTGCCCCCCCCCCCACGCTCCTTTTTAATTATCAAAATTCTGATAGTCAGACGACCCCAAATGTCCGAAAACTGTTACAAATGGTAATGGTAAATTGTTATGTCGGTAAAGGTATTTTTGTTTGCCACCATTGCCTACGTCAGCGCGGCGCGGGAACCTGTTCTGCCAGCCAGCTCACCTAATGATCCCTAATCGGTCAACCGAGCCTGTGTCCGGTGGGCTGACCTATTATGATTGACAGGGAAGGACACGATAACCCTTATATAACTTGTAAACCTCCCGACACGTGTATACGTGTACGTGTTAGGCACTAGGTGCGTCACCCACATTCAACCAGATTCAGTCGGACATTGCCTTGACTGTTGGCAGGTGGAAAAGTTGTGCGTGAATTATGAGCCCTTGCTACACATGTGTATTTCACGACTTTGCCTCCGACCACATCGCAAACTTCGTTTGAAAGCAGTTATAGATTTTTCGAAGCAAGAAATATAAATTGTAAACATTCCCGAGATCAGATACATGTATACGCGTTGGCCACCAGGTATGACAACAATAAATAGCCATGCCTTCAAGTACCAGGGTTATCAACCAAGGATTAAGATGTTCAAAAACACGCTTTTCCGAGAACTATCGTAGAGCGAAACTCGCTGCCTCCAAGTACAGTATGGGCATCATTACTAGAATTATGAGCCCTTGCTACACATTCACACGACATTAGGGGTCATGTTATGCAGGCATGTGAACCCCGGGGTGGCCAAACACCCTGGCAAATTATTGTCTCTATTTGGCTAAAATTTACTATTTTTCAGTCCGCATGATTAGTCTAGGTAAGATTATATGCCAAGAAATGTAACGTTGGCCAAAATAATAAACTTGACAAAAGAAATAGTTCATCTTATCACCAAAGAGCATATCACTTCGGCTCCTCATGTCAGGTAGAGAGATGGTGTGATGTGACAACTAGATGACTTGCAAATTCCCAGCGCTGATAATAAAGAGGCTTTGACATCAATTTTTGGTTTACCAACCATGTTTGCCTTCAATTTGATAATTCACGTTTGACCTCAATAGATAGACCCATGACCCATGTTAAGATCCGGACATCGTTATTTAATCTTCGGGTGGTCAGTGTGTATAAATACAGGGCTTAGACACCAGTTTAACTCGTCCACCGAAGACTAGCTCAGATCCCCGTTGTTGTCCTGAACAAGCTGCTGAGGAGTCCAAGATGTTCAAACTGGCTGTTGTGCTGTTGATGGGGCTGGTGTGCGCGGCGAATGCCAAGACCTACGGGCGCTGTGAACTGGCGAGAGAGCTGGTGTCTCGTGGCCTGACTTCACGGTCTCAGGCCGGCGACTGTGAGTACTCAAGTATCATTGTTAAAGTCAAACCTGGGATAGTGACCACAGGTCGTAGCCACTCCCCAGAAGTCCTGTAGATTAGTTTTTACCCTCGATTCAAGCATTGAGAACCCCGTTCTTGCTCTTTCTATCTTTCAAGCATCATCAGCTTCTGGAGCACCGTGTCTGGAGATCCAGAACAGTGCTTTATTCAGGACAATGCTCAGATTCGGTGCCGGATGCCGGTCAGTCCAAGCGTATCCAGAACCGTCCTTAACCCTAACCCTTTCAGGCATAGAGCTAGACCTGCAGGGTTCTGGATACGATACTAGACGCATCAGGTCGTTTACAAAAAGTGCTTATTAAACTAATCCACAAAGGATCAGAACGACAATAAGTGAACGTTGTGTGGCACATCTCCCCAGCCTCCGCGAAATACTGTCCAATAGCGCTCATTTATTCCTCTCAGGTCGTGACCATGACTTACTCTCCTTGAGCTTTTGGGTTACTTTTCAAGCTGTAGTTTATATACCTCTTACCTTACCTTACCTGGGCCCTTGGCCCCGTGCGGAGCATAGGCCACCGACGATTTCCCTCCATCTAGCTCAATACCTCTAGTGTTTGGATTTAACTTGAACACGCAGATCTTGATTAACGACACGTGATGTTCCTACAGGGGTCTGTCTGGTGGAGCACGAGAGTGGTTACAGGACCGGCGTGAGGGGCGGCCCCAACTGGGACGGTTCCTACGATCACGGCATCTTCCAGATCAACGACTACTACTGGTGCGACGACGGTGGACCACACAACGACTGTGGCGTTCCCTGTTCCAGTACGTATAATGGAAAATACTATTCAAATCACGTAAAACATCATCGTGAAACCTTGTTAGATACAGAAGGTAGTGTTCGCTGTTTCTTCAATGATATTCCTGGACCAGTTGCCATCATGTGCAGATGAATAGAACATTGCAATTTGATGTGAATCCAAAGTGTTGTGTTCTTGTTGTCGAATCTAACAATTTTTACGTTATGTCACATTTCTTAGTCTTTGTTCGGCCTATTCCCACGATAGTTGCATAATTCCAGTTGATATCCACTTTTTCTCCTGTCGTACCCAGACCTCCGTGACAGCAACATCGCTGATGACGTGCGCTGCGCCAAGCTGATCTACCAGCGTCACGGCTTCTCTGCCTGGTCAGTTCTCAGTTCTGTCGTTTTAGTAACGAGTAACAACACTGTTTCATCCTTATTACACAATGTTTGTTTTAATTTGATAATACTTGATGATGTTTTGCCTTTAGTTCTGTTCTTGTATTAATTTGTAGTGTTTGTTGATTTTTTCTGCCGTTCATATCATTGCCATGGCCTATGGGGTGCGAAATCTTGAATCCTCAGTAGATTTTAAGTCGTATAATTCTGGTTCACAGCTGTAAATGAGCTATGGAAATATGTATTCATTAATGATTTCAGTCTCCTACTAGTAAACCAAGGGCGGGATGCTAGCGTTTGGGAGTATGTTCGTGAATATGTGACAAGGGCTTTAGAGATGGGCATCATCACATAGTAGTAGCTTACATTAGTATGTTAAGTTTTCGGTAAGACAATTTTACTTCTGCTTTGTTCATGACCTGTACTTTGCTTGTAACAGCATAAACATGCAATAAAGGTCTTTCATTCATCATTTGCAAAACAAAGAAATAACTGACCTGTAACTCTCCAACAGGTATGGGTGGGTCAACAACTGCCAGGGCCACAACAACGCCCATTTCACCAGCGGCTGCTTCTAAACATCACGTCACCGTTGGAGCGGAGTCGTTCGTACGTCATGATGACGTCAGATCGACTCCAGCACACGTCACTGCAATTCCTTCTGATTCTCGGTGTTTCGGCACTGGATAGCAGTCTCATGAATAAAGCATCAATCAAATATTTCTGAAGTGTGCGTTGAATTGTTGGAACATCAGGCACATGGTGGTGCGCTTATGTTAGAACGTGTTTAACAAGTCGCTGCCATTAACAAAGTGTCATTAAGATATCCTCGATTGCACTTATTAGCTTCTGAAAAATGAAACATGTTCTCCCTGGTTGAGATGTGTGTCTCACAAAACAAAGGCAAAACATCTTTAAACTGTTCTGTTGAAATGAAATCTTCTATTACAAATTTTTCCACTAAAAATTGGAATGTACAAGTCACAGTCATTCTTAAAAAGGCTATTCAAAAGCAATTCCAAGACATTTCTTTTCGTTCGCACAGCGAACAACTTGTACTAAATGCTTTCCTTATAATCTTAGTCATTACATTAATAAGTCTTTGTTCCTTAGTCTTTAGTTGTGGATATTCACACCCATTGGCAAACAATACATGTATAATGTAGAAAAATAGATTTAAAAACCATTAGTTAATCCTTTCCAGAACAGCATCCTTACCTGTTCTGCTCATTCTCTATACTACATATTTTTGTTCAATCCAAATTTAGTAAGCACGAAAATGCTTGTATCAGAGAGAACTGGTAGATGTAGCCTATGTTGGTCCTTCATCTCACCATGTGACACCACTAGACAGACAGTTATGGTAAAAATCACTCAGCAGTTAAAAGTACCTATTCTACTGTCACATTTAAAATCAATCCATCGGCGACAAAAATAGGGTTTCTGACCATTATTTTAATAATGGTTAAAACCTTCTCCCTGTTGCCTAACACAAATTTGGTGCCAAACAGCTACTTTAGCAGGCTGAAGGTTAAATATTTGATTGCCTGTCTCTTATCAAGAAACCATCATCTTGAAGACTCAGGCAACTCCATTAAAGTTGCAAATGTTGACAAGTCGTGAGAATGGCAAGAACTAACAGCTTTTCTCAAAGTTCCTGCATTGCCCCATACAGACCCACTCTCTCACTAACAGCAGCAGTAGCATATTGCTCAGGCCTAGGAAAAATATGTTGTGCTTCTTCTTACCTAACCGACCCGAACAAAAAAAACCCAAACCTAGCCTTTTTTTGGGGGGGGGGGGCGGCCACCGATGAGAGACATAGATTTTTCGATCTGAGTGATGAAAACGTGGATTCCGAATTAGTTTTCCAATGTGCATTTTCTACACATTTGCGATGCATTCTGATTTACAAAATGTATTTCAGTGTCATATTAACTGTATTTGTTGGATCACTTTGGTTAAAATCTAAAAAAAAAAGAAATTAAAGAAAATTAATCCCTACCTATGCAGGCTAATTTTTTTAGGACCGGAACAGGAAACACAACATTAATTTTTCTAGGCCTCATGTCTTGGCAGGCTGGAGGTGCTTCTTGACCCTCTCCAGCACCTGGTAAAAGTTCTGCTTAAAGAGCTTGTCCGTGCTGAGGTCCACGGTGCTCAGCCTGGCAAGGATCTTCCGCACTGCAGTAGGGGCTCCCTCTGGCGGCCAGGGCAGGAAGCGCAGCATGACGGGGATGATGGGCTTGTAGAGCGTCTCGGCTAATGTGAGGTCCTTGCTGCAGTTGTCGGACTGGATGTACTTGGGCGTGATGCAGCAGATGACGACGGAGCAGGCGCGCATGTTGCGCTGGATCTGGCTGGTGATTGGTTCCCCCGAGGTTTCCGGGCGGGACAGCAGGGCGGCGTTGCGACTGCTCATGCTGCTGTGACCTCGGGTCACCGGGCTGTGTGAAATAAACAAAGAAATTGAAGACGTTAACCTTCGGGGAGTGACATATGCATACGAAATGTGGTTTGTTTGGGGTCATGCCCTCCCGGGAAATTTTGTATTTTTAAGCCTTCAAAAACAAATTCCCACATTGTGTACTGAGGCAAATCATGGGGGTTCAGAGGTTGTTGTTGGTCGCTGGTCTTTTGGACATTTTTATATTTTAACCCAAGCTTAAGATTTCTGTTGACTTTGTCCCTAAAGGTTGACGGATTGGTTTAAAAATTTTTTTGTCACACTCCACATTTAGTTCCTGCAATTGACGGAAAAACAGGCCCTGGTTAAAGCCCTGTAACATCTACAGCTATAAACGACCACTCACCTGATGTCAGCCCAGCATGTGACTCCGCTGGACTCCAGCATGGCGCGGATGTCGTCCACCCGGGCTTGTGTGTCCCACTGGTAGCTGATGAACACTTTAGGCTCCAGGTACTCTGTCAGCGGCCACATGATCTGACCTGTACAGAGGTTATAGGTTAAAGGTTACACACGATGAACACCTTCGGCTCCAGGTACTCTGTCAGCGGCCACATGATCTGACCTGCACAGAGGTTATAGGTTAAAGGTTACACACGATGAACACCTTCGGCTCCAGGTACTCTGCCAGCGGCCACATGATCTGACCTGTACAGAGGTTACAGGTTAAAGGAGCAATTTTTATCTGCATGTATGTCTACTAGTAGGCAGTGTATATATACATGAAGTAGTACTATTGGCAGCTGCTTACCAGCTAAATGTAGAACAATAGATAGCCGCAAGCCCCTGTAATACTTTCTGCATTTTTTTAACACCACTACCTCAAATTCATATCTCCCTTGCATGACTACTGGGAATTTAAAACATTGTAAAAACCTCCCCTCCCTCCTACCACAACATAAAACCACCTCAAAAGTGAATCAATTTACATTATCTCTATATATGCTTGCCATAACACAAGAAAGGTATAACTAAGAAGACGAAGCTTACCTGATTGCGGCGCTGCCAGGACCTGCAGTGGTTTGAGCCCCTCGGCCATGTGGTTGAGGTACGCCTGTTCCAGCATGATGCCTGACACCTTCCTTACAGTATCTATATGCTTACCATAACATAACAGGTATAACTAAGAAGATGAAGCTTACCTGATTGCGGAGCTGCCAGGACCTGCAGTGGTTTGAGCCCCTCAGCCATGCGGTTGAAGTACGCCTGTTCCAGTACGATACCTGAAACCTTCCTTACAGTATCTATATGCTTACCATAACATAAAAGGTATAACTAAGAAGATGAAGCTGACCTGATTGCGGAGCTGCCAGGACTTGCAGTGGTTTGAGCCCCTCGGCCATGCGGTTGAGGTACGCCTGTTCCAACACGATGCCCGACACCTTCCTGAGCGGGCGCACCTGGTGTTCCAGCACGTCCATGCTGTCTGCGTACATCTTCGTCTCAAAGTCGATGGCCGGGTTCTCACCTGGACAGGTGTGTAAAAGAAAATGGCAAAATTAATACAGTTTGTAATTAATATTACAGAGGTACTGTTACTGTAGTAAATTTTAAAGTTTTCAATAAAGTCAATAACAAAGGACAACATGATAACTAGTGTCAATCATACTACAACTGCAGATGCAGAACACAGAGGAGACTAGTGGATCTGAAGTGCTTTGATGCCATAGTCATTGGGTCTAGCAATAACCATCATGCAGGGAGGAAGAAAGAGAAGTGGGCAATGGAAATGATGGGAGGATGACACTAGAAAATGGACATAAATAAAATGTTTGGAAAAAGAGAAAACAAAGGACAGAGGAGACTGGTGGTCACATCGTCCGTGGTGCTCCAATGGTTGAATACATTTAATTAGATGAAGGAATAGATAAGATGAGAAAACTCTGTGTATTAAGTCCAAGGTACCAACTTTCCCCTCAGACATGTTTTCAGGGAACTATAGCACTCACCTAGAATGGCCTTCATGGCAGGCCTGAGTTTGAACCACATGTTCTTGAACAGTGCGGTGACGATCGTCCGGTTCAGCCACTCGGCGAACAGGACCTCGTTGAAGACGAAGGGCGAGGTGGCGGCCGCCTCCGTCAGCAGGACCAGGATGTTCTTACAGCCGGCGATCCGAGGACCGTTGATCTGCAGAAACTCCTCCTTGGACTGGCCCAGCTTGTCGTGGGTGTCAACCTGGGGGTGAACAGAGTTATGTCAGTTAAGCCCCTGTCACACATTCACGAACTAACCACGAATTTGACAGCATCTGCAGATACATGTGTAATGTCATTTGAATATCAAAGTTCACAACCACTTGTTTAACAAGATCCATCATTTTGATGACTGTCATCTTCATCATGGCTCTGTGCAGTGATGAAGATTACAGACCGTAATATCGGCTTTTGAATGTTAAACAAGTTTGAACTTTGCTATCCATAGTTATGTCAGTCATTTAGCAGCCTTTAAATGCATGTCTAATGCAACTGATTGATTTGTGACCTTCACTTTTGCCCTTGGAATGTAATTCAATGATTTTGTTTTGATACAACAGATCTTATTATTTTGTAAGTGTCGCCCTCCTTAGTCTCTACAACACTGAATGTTTTATTCTGCATGTACATGTACTGGGTCCTTCAGGACATCAAGTTTTATAGAGTTAAATGCTATGATGAAATATGTAGCTTGAATAGATAAGCAAAGACTTCACAGCCATAGGGCCACGAGAAACAAAACACCTAATACAAGATGTACTTCAAATTTCATAAAGGTATGGAAACTGTCATGACACTACATTCTACAAAGTACCCAAAAGTAGGACTGCTAGTTGTACATGTTGGTGGTCTGACCTAATTCAATCAGGGCACAATGCTGACATCATTACAAATCCAACTGTAAGGTGTTTAAAGCTTTCTTTGTGATTCCAGGCTCTTTGTGGGAATGACGTACCGACACAACACAAATGCCAAGTTGCCATGTAGTTGAACAACCAAACAAACCAGGCCCAATTGTACACTACTAAGTAGTCAATAGATGGACAACTTAAGAAGTTACCAAGTGTTTGTCCTGCATTGAATGGAGACCCTTTCCATGGCCAGTATTGACCATGTGGGTACTTTCAAGTCAGCCCTTATGTTTCGTGGACCTCACAGTCACACTGACCCAACATGTATTTGATAAAAGTCGATGTAAATAGTTCCAGAAAAGTCATCACAAAGAATTCACAGTAATTGTACACTCACAGTAGTAACTGTTGCTCTAACTCTAACTCTAACTCTAAAGCTCTGCATACACGGGAATTTATTAATCATACTAGTATGTATATGCCTGAGTAATATTACTATGTTTTTCTTTACCTTTTAGGCAAAAATATCTTCAGAAAACAAATTGAAAACTCCACTAAAACTTATTGAGGTCAACAAAGTTTTTTTGCTCAGTTCCAAGGCCACATGTAATCAAATCCCACCACTGTATACCAGCACTTCTCTCCCCACATTGAAACAACACTGGACCATTTTTATACAATGTATCATTTATTTTCTTTCCTCGACACGTCTTTGTGCCGGGGTCAAGAGGTGAAACTAATGCTCCTGCCTTGACCATGGTCAAAATGAGCAGACCATAATGGGTATTGAGTCGGAAAACAAAACGACACAGTATCGTGTCAACAGATACCAGCGCGTCCTGGCGACCGCTAACGCGACTTTTGGGCTGTCGTTAAAGGTAAATGTTTACCCGTAAATATGACCCAGTAAAAACACCTGTACTAAAACACACTCTTCCCAACACTGTGACCTCTGTCATATCGTGGGTCTAAAATGAAGTGAAAGAAAATGAATGAGCTGGCAAGGTGGTCTTGTGGTAAGGGTTGTTGACTTAGAATCTGGAGGTTCTGGGTTCAAGTCCCTGGCAGGCCCCAGTGTATGTTGTGCCCTTGGCAAATAAAAAAGGCAATTGACACCTGTTTCCACACTTGACTCAGTTGAAAATGAGTACCTTTTAGAGACCGATACGTTATGTATACTTAGTGTGGCCAACACATCATTTTTCTTGTTATATTTTTGAATGCACAAGTTTTGTTAAGTTTTCGATATTTTTTATTATTGAGCACGGTTGCACCACCACCACCGGCCACACTGAGGCGGGCACCTGGACGTGATGTCCCTTGCGGGATTTTGTCCAGTATTGCATAAGATAAGATAAGATAAGACCGTCCTCTTGGATGAGATGCAAAGCCTAAGACAGAGGTCGTAATTGATCAAAGATACACATGAAGCACAATTTAAAGAACCCACCACACATATCAAAATACAGTCCATCCTACATGTAGCCTGGTGTGAGTGGTTCAAACCTTTAAGTTAGTCTGTTCTCCAGGTTGACGTCTTCAAAGGGGACAGTCACTTGCAAATGTGGTAAATGTCAATAACTGAAGTGTCATAAACAACTCTGATTTTGTCACAACTCACAAGCGTTAACGACTTCAAAATGTACAAAACGTACACTCAGTTGCTTGTTGGCAATATCGGTATGATGTTTTGCTTACATCAAAACAGCATTACATTCTCCTGGTTGCCCTTCTAATAGTGATGGCTGTTTTATTATTGTACAATGTTTGTAGAGTGAATTAGTTGTCCAGACTTTCTGAGTGCTTGATAATCTCCAAGTTAGGTGTTTCGCAATGAACTGCATTGGTTGTCAATGTAGCTAAGAAAAAAAAAAATAAAAAATAAAAAAAAATGCTTCATGGATATTTTCAAAAGGATGATTCCTCCAAATGCGATAACTTTACTTACATCTTTATTTGACATTCTAGAAATTACATTAACTTATAATACATGCAATTTGCCTTTGGGCATGATTTTGTCAAATAAAAGATATGAAGTGTTACTACATGTGATCTATCCAGGATGAGAGCATACACCAGTCTTCCATTCCTAATAGTCTGTTGACCTCAGTGCGTGTTACTTCTTAACTGTTTTGTCAACTTTGTAGTTTTTTGAGGGCTACATGCCAGGCAGCAAGCAAGGTCAGGAGGGGACTGTTTAGGACATTCCAGTGCCTGGTAGAGCTATGTATCTAAATTAACTTTAAGTACAAGTTTAAGTAGACAGGTTTAGGTACAGGTACACAAGTTTAAGTACAGGTACATGGGTTAGGGTTAGCATCCACCAGTCCTTTTTACGGGAATAGGTATTGTAGAATTCGGCAAAAATGAGAGTAAATTTGGCCACTGGGGAGTCTGGCCGCTGGAAAGTTGTTTCTTTCCCTCCATGGCCAGTCAAACTCCAAGACAGCAAATATTCTCCTATATAGCCAACCTAGCTACATATGTAGTTAATCTGGTAGAGTCACCTAAGGTTTGGGTTAACAGGCCTGAACCTATACCTGTATCTAAACAAGTTTGGATGAAACATCTGTAAGTTATACAGGTACAAATAGGTAAATCAATTATTTTCTGAGGGTCGACACATTTTAAGAGAGTCATATGAGGGCCAGACAAAGGGTCTATGTCAATATATTGAAGTTTATTGTAAAAGTGTGTGAGGGGGGTAGTACAACAATCCTCATGCTTTCAGGCTTACACTTCGTCCTGTGCTACTGGCACAATATTGGATTAACGTACATCTCAAAGGCTAAGATCTTTACATCCTACTTAAATATTTTCCCACATAAGGTTGCCATGCATGTACCATCAGTACTGTTTCTCGACCAACGCTACTCACGTCAATAACAACATCAAGGAAACGTAACACCTGAGACAAACAGCCACACAAAGCCGTGAGGGGATCAAAACAGGAGGATCCGTTGCCTCCGGAGCCGGCCTGAATGTAGGTGTTAAACTTGTTATGGCTTCAATTGTCCCCCGCTGGCTGAGGTTATGTGTCATGAATGGGAAGATCAAGTTGCACTAAGAGCTGTAACAAGATTTTAACTTCTCTTTTTTTCTTTGATCTGGAGCTAAGAGGGTTTTGCAGCAAAGTGCAAAATCAAATCTCTCCAAGCAGAGGTTGGTTGGGAAGATTGTGGGCTTCTTCTGACTTGCCAGCAGATGCATGACTGTCAGAAAATGGGGACAAATGCTGGTAACATGTCACAATATTCCTATCAAATCTCTACTTGGAAAGTACAAACCATCAATGTCATATGTGCTGCATTTATTTTATCCTGATCTATTCAATTTTTCACAAGAACTAAAATAAAATGTATGAAAGTTTTGAGGAAATGACATATAACAAAATTAATGATTATAATAAAAATAATTATCAATACTACATTCTATTTCTACATATCCACTAAGCATTTCTTTACTTACAGAAATAAAATAAATACCGGCAATGTTGTAGATTCTTTATCCATACTTAAACCAGTCATTCATTAAGGGCAAATACTTTTGAATAATTAATAAATGTTCAGCTCATGAAGTACCTTCACCAAAGAATTTGGCTTCAGACCAATTCAAGCAGAGATTGTGTGTACATACCTGCTTTCTTTGGTCAATTCATTTACCTTTCAAGTGGTTTCATTTCATAGTACGAAGCAAAAGGAGGTTTACATGTTTTAAACAATTCTCCTGTACACTAGTCATACTTTTTTTGTGGTGTCATGAATTTACACTTGAAGCGTTTTATTCTTTGGTACCAGCAATAAATCGCTCTCTTCTCTTCACAGCCAACAATACATTTATGACAGCAAGCAAAGTTTTGCTTTCTGTCAGGGACATCACATTTTTGCCTTACAGATATCAATATGCTATGGGATAGGGTTGACTCAACTTGAAAATTGACTTGAAAATTGACTTTGAAAATCCAATTTTGCCGCCTTGAATGACAAGGACATCAACTTCACCTCCTTGAGTCTGACCCTGGCACACAGAAGAGCCTGAGCACCCCTCTTTTGTCCCCGCTTTAAAAGCATGGCAAACAAAAACAGCACAACCCTGCAGTCGCACGTCCCTCGGGCCGTCTGTACACATACATGACACTGAGGAGAACTTGAAAGTCAGAAAATGTCACGTCTGACAGTCTGAGAGACAGGTGTGTTTACTGGAGAACGTAAAGCAAAGGGACTGCTTTGATATATATCATTACATTATTTGGGTAAACTGCATTCCTTCAGGAAGGTTCAAAGTCGAGAAAATAGGCTCATTGTCTATTGTACAACTCGCTGTACATAACATTGCCTCATAGTCATACACATTTGTATGACTTTCAATGAAAAGGCTTTTGTTTGACAGCCCTTTGGTTAAGCTTGATGTATATCTATATGTGACGTATAAAAAATGGCATTGGCTCAACTATTGTCGGACTGCTACTTTATTACATTTAAGTACATCCGTTACACGTTACCTTAGGCCATGTCACCTTGATGTATTAGTTTTCACTTTGTTTTTTTTTTCTGACAAAAAACTTCCTGTTTTTGAACTTGGTGATCACTATGATTTGTTAAGGCTGACTCAAAGCCCACTGTAGGAATTGCCATGCAAAATGTTGAAGCAAGTAATACTGAAGCAAAAAGAAAAGAATATACGGTGCCATGGCACTGCCTGTGTCAGAGCAGATACAGTAACTATAAATGTACTTCATGTTTGAATATCTGAGTTTTACATTGAAACAAAAGAGTATTTTCTAGCTGTATGTGTGTGTATATACAAGAAATTCCATTCATTCACACAACGGTCAACAAATATCTTCAGATTCTCCATCACCACCGAAGCAAGAGACACAAACAAACTTTACAAAGCAGCGACGTGGTCACCAGGAAACGTTACAAGGTCTTGTTGAGGGAAACTGGCTCTTTGTTCATGCATACGACACAGTTCAGTGGTTCCAAAAGGCTCGCATTTCAACTGAAGACGGTTGAACCTGAACTTGAACCTGAACCTGAACCATGGGCTTTAATTGCATCTAAGCAATTTTTATAGCCTGGCTGGCTAGCTAGAAATGTACTGTACCAGTGTCAATAATTTTGAAGTCACAAACTTTTCCTATCATTAACATCCAAAAAGAATAAGTTACATGTACACAAAACAGGTTCAAAGTTTCTCAGTTTCTTCTTCTTCTTCTTCTTTACTCATCCTCTTCTGAGGTGCAAGCTGGCTACTCTGAACTGCAGAACCCTTCTCAGTTTCAAACGAATCAAAGTCTTTTGCAACATAAGGTTTCTAACCCTGACTTCTTCCAAACTAACCTTTACCAGGCTTCAGACTCAGAGGGGGCTGGAAAGAGTAGAAATTAGCCAAAGAGACAGATAACATGCCAAGAACATATACAGAACTGTACACTTTAACAGACCAACTCCCCTGGCATGTTATCTGTCTATTTGGCCAATTTCTACTCCTTCCATTCGTCTGTGAAGCCTGGTAGAGATTACCTTCTACACTTATCTCATTCTCAGTTTGAGAAAAAAAATATCCCTTTCAACCCTGACAGGATAATTAATGACTTCTCCCCTGAGGGATTAAGGGTCTAATCCCCTGACACACTCCCCTCGTTAGCAAGGGTCGTTAAGTCAAATTGTCACCTAGTTACCAACTCAAACAAACAGTACAATCTCCTGGAAGATAAATAAAGACCCATTCTGTCATGTGGGAAAAGAGCAAAAGTCTGTGTAATTCTTTTGAGCCCAAAAGTCCCTGGTACATTTTTCTAGGACAGAAAATTTGCAGGCATTTAGAAAAAATGAGTGGTATGCACAAGAAGGGCCTATCTACTACATACATTCTTGTAAACATTAAAATGCAAATTTTATACCTCCATTATCTACATGATTTGTATACCCTGAGATTATAAAGCTTAGAGTTGTCTTGTTACTAGTATTTAGATCTTGCTAGAATGTAGTGCTCTTCAGCATGTTGTAAGGTAAAGCTTTAAACTAAAGACAATGGGTTATCTAAGGCCAATTAATCTCAATTAGTAGAAGCTCAGAGTACCACAAAATAAATGACCTCTTTTACACATTGCAGCCTGATAAAAATCCCTGCTATTCAGGTGTGCATGAATTTGCACATACATTTGTAACTTTTAAAATAGGTCAAGTTCTAATTTTCAGGATAATATTGATAAATTTCCTCACTGCCGCATTGCTTTCATGGGCTTATAAACTTGTTACTATAGTTGGACTTTCATGACATAACAAGTGAACGTAAACAATCTTACCTGTATGTTCTTCTTCAGTAGATCTGCCTTCATGTTCTGTGCTAGTCTGACGTCGGCTGGGTCGTACACCAGGTAAACCGTGTCCACCCGCGGCCTCTTGGTCCTCACACGCAGGTGCCATCCCTCCCGCATCTTCTGCTCGTTGTCCAAGATCTGCAGCATCTCCGAGAGAATCTTCTTCCTCACGATGCGGCTCTCGATGCTGAGGTACGAGATCATGTCCTGTTCCGTCAGGGACATCAGGAGGAACCCGTCAATGCCGTTCTCGGCGAACGCCTGACAGAAGAATTCTCGTACCTTCATCCCCGCAAGCCACTCCTGTACGTCATTCACTGTCCACTGACAAAGCTTTGTTTTCTTATACTGACCTGTGAATTCTGTCTCGGCCACTAGCGGAGGCAAAGCCGGGACCATCGCGGTCGATAATTTCTCTAGGTATACGCTCAGGGATCCGACCACCATGGAGCTTTTCTCAGCGAGGCTGCTCTTGGCGATTTTCCCTGACGTCAAGTCTACCATTCCTTCCAGAAAGGGGGCGTACTGTGGGGGTAAGTCTGTGGGACTGTACAAAACGAGAAAGAGCTGCGGAGGTCTCGATACGGATATCGTTCTTTCCAGTAGCACCTTGCCTTCGTATAGGGACACGGTAGACTGGAAGTAGCTGTCTGACAGAATGAGGATCGCAGCGCGGCATTTTTCCACCGCTTCTAGTCTCTGCATGAACCACGTCGGGGAGTCAATGTTCTTCTCATCCTTGTCAAACCAAATGTCTTCTGCTAAATTATTCTCTTTCAGCTGCCGGACGGTCTCAACGACAAATTTCTTCTCCAGATACGCTGCGTCTGGAGAGTAGGAGAAGTAGATGCCTTTCTTCCCAGGCTTGCGCTTCTTGTGCGACGTTGGCGGAGGTCCGAGCGTCTTCTCATTCTTTACAGCACTCTTGGTACTTTCGTGGAAACCAGAGTCCGTCCCACCCTGAGGTTCAGCTGCTTTGAGTTTGTCTGCGTCATCGCCAGGTTGGGAGATCTCAATCTCCTGCATGTCTTTTTTCTTGGCGGTGATTTCTATGCTTATGTAGGAATCTTCGCGAGATACGGGGAGGGGTTCGACTTCTTTGAGGAGTCCCGCGTTTTGGGGCTGTGGTTGTAGTGGTTGTGGTATGTCATGGTTGTGCCAGGCAACAGGGTCAGCGGCCGTCTCGTCGACGCTACCGTGCCCACTTTCCGCCATCCTCGCTGGGAGATCGCGATTCCTCCCGCATCCTGCTGTTTGTTGCTATGACAACATATTTCAGCACAGGAATGGGCAGATTTATAGAGAGATGCTCCTCTGGCTGGCTGTGCAGGATGATGCAGATTAAGTTAAATTGTTGAAGCTGGCTTGTTGTTGATGTGATGTCCTGCATGAAAACAACCAAGAATGTGACATCAGTACATGTTTTATACTGGCAATTTTCAGTGACAAAACATGTAAGAAACATGTTATCGGAAAATTTCGTTGTAATATTCTACATGTTAGAACTGGTGACACTTTTACATTTGACAAATTTTCATCTAGTAGTAGACTACAAGTAGTTAGGAGTCTCTGTATTTACCTCTCAGTAGCTCTCAAGGCCACAAGATACACTGTAACAACCTGACATAATAAATGTAGCTGTCTAATAAACAATACAATTTTTCCAGTGTCTTACAAGTGCAAGTACTAGTAGTCAGGCAGCAGCCCAGGTGGTTGTCATGTAGCATGACAGGACAAATCTCTGAGAAAACAAGCCCACATACAGACCAACATGGACACACTGACAGTAAATGGGCCATGACATCAGCACACCTTCTTTGATTCCTATTGAACAGATGGGTGGGGAGGGAGGGGGAAGTTCATTAATGACAGTTAAGGGGGTTCCCATCAATGTGTAGGTCAGATGGGAAGGCACATGTCCCCAACTCTTCTTTTTTTATTGGCCTTACAGTTTTTTTTATTGTACTAAGAGTAAAACTTATCACATTATAGTGTTTCATACATGTTTTGATGATTATGATAGCTGTTTTTCTTTGGACATACCTGTACACCCATCTCTAACACAGTGGTCCTTTTTTTTCCATGTTAGAGACACTCTACAACATTTGTGATCAGACAATGCTACCGGAAAGGTGACAGACCCTTAGACCTGCACATAAGTAACAAAGTTATCTCTAAGCCATTTGTAACAATTCTGAAACTATTACTTGATAATGGAATTATTTGGGACCCATTTTACCAGGCTTATACTTATTTTAAGTACTTAGCACTGACTGCTTAAACCATTTTAGCTAAACAGCTAAGATAATGGAGATACAAACCATTTTATTATTACCATTAGATTTCAAAAGACTCAGGTGGCACTGACAACAAAGACAATTTTAACAGCATTGATGGCATTGTGAAGCTTCAAGGATTCTACACTGGGACTTGATTTAATTAGGAGACAGGGGAAGTGGCTATGAATAGAAGACATAAAGGGACACTATTGGGTTAAGACTCGTTGAATGTTGGAAAACAAAAGAAAACAGTAGGGGGTATGGAAAAAATCAAACTTCCTTGATCCTAGTAAAATTTGGAATGAAAAAGTCACTGTGGGTAGTTTTGCAGTTTTAGATACACTTGTGTATACAAATTAATGTTTAAACTGCCCAAGAGGACCACTCTGGGTACCGACAAAATTTGGTCTGTCTAATATGTGAACAGGTGGTCATTATAGACAGGATTCTTGATGCTTGAATCAATAGAAAAGTAGTTACATTGGCCAGCTGACCCTTATGTATAATCTCCGAACAGGTCCCTTTTGGTGGCAAGACAGTATCCATTAGCTAGGGTTTGCACGGCCACTAGGATAAAATTGTCCAGATCGAGCCAAATTGATTCGCTTTGAGTTTGATCCGGATCCGAGCCGAGTCTAGCCAGATCGAAGCGAATTTCAATTCGTCTCAATCCGGACAATTCTATTGTATTGGGAATGGGCCATGGCGCCTAGGTGGTTGCTCAAAGTACAGGTTTGACAGTATCCCTGTTGTCACTTCATAGTTGGGTGGACCTGTGTGCATACCGATCATGGTCCCACCAACAAACAAAACAAACTAACTCCACCATAGCTTCTCTAGGCACAATTAGGGACACCTGGATGGCAAAACTGACAGTAATTTGTACTGAGGTAGTTATACTTATAGCGACAAATTGCAGCCATTACTTTAGCCTATATGTGGACTCACTGATTTGTGGTATTTGGACAATTGTTTGCTCTGTACACTAAGAAATCTCCAGTTTGTTGGTTCAACGTTTATACCATAAGTCACTTATGAAATAACCAAACAATGAAAAGGATATACAGAAAATAAAACTTTCAATGTTCTCAATGCTATGACACTTAAGAAGAATTACGACAAAATCCATCTAGTATTAAATAAACAACCACCTTAATGTGCATAGTTACAGATTCAGTAAACAATCTAGCTAATCATCAGGATATTTCATCAGTTGATCGTAGATTTGTCCGACTTACCAAGTATCACGCTATAAACGGGAATCGAACCAATGACCCCTCGTACCTGAAATCCTGGCTCTTGAGTCACCAAGCGACCGGTGGCTCGACAAACTTTGTGGTATTGTACCGAGTAAAATGTAGCAGTATTTTCACTTGTGGCCCTCCCTCTCCCGTAATTATAACTCAACCAGAACAGAATCCGGTTTACCTGATGGTGTATCTCTGGCTGTGTGACCAGTCACCTGCCGCGTGGAGGACGGGAGAAGAGGGTGCTTCAAGTTGTTGAGCCGATCGCGGCGCCTTTTACCCTAAACATGCCGCCGCCGCACAGCGCTTCGCATGGAAACCAAACAGTAATGGATAAGGATAGCCCCAGGTAAATAAGACCCTACCAACGAAACGGGGGAGTCCGTGTGTATCACAACGCGAATTAACAATTTTGTTTTCAATATAGACATATTTAATCACCCTAAGTAGTATATAGAATATAATAGTAATGAAATATGAGATTTAATTTGATATTTATTGCTTATTTTATGTTTTTATACAGTTTACATTAACAGTGGGTCCATTGAACGTAATGGACTCTTCCAGACGCAATCAAAGACTGGAGTTTCTGACCCAGAAAAGAAGCCCCGCCATTTCCAAAGTTTTCCGCAAGTTGGAAGAAAAACTGAAACGTCTAAGACAGCTGGATAAGACAGTGATGCTTAAGCTGGTCATTCGGAGACATAAATATGATATCATAAGGCATTTTCCGGAGGGAGTCTAACAGAACAGCAAGTTAATAGTTTTAGTTCTAAACTTCGTCGCGATAAAATCTTGTAGACAACCAGAAGAGGGCTAAGTTTTGCTGAGAAAGTAAAATGGATGTTGGTGTACAAAAAACGCCAAGATGTCGGCAAACTTGAAGAAAATCTGCCGACTTGACGTCTAGTTAACTGGTCACCGACGGTAACTGGAATAGTTAATTACATATCCCAGCATGCATCACTTTCAACATGGCTGACCTAGGGTTTGGGTTATAAACCCGGAGGTTTTGGGACCGAGTTTTGATAGTTTTAGCAGTTTTGTACCAAATTCGGACGATTTCACCGAATCGGTCTGCAAGCGGGAGCCATATAGGTACGTTTTGATCAGGTTTCATCCTTTGCAACCGTTTTTTCCGGGAGATATAGGCGCGAAAACAGACAAAGAACCCGAGTTGTTTTTCAACCAGCGCCCCGTTTATCGTGTTATTATGCTAATTTCATTAATTTATAAGCCATCCCAGCGGCCCCGTGACTCCAACCTAGTAACGTGTTTGTTCATGTCGGTCACGTCTGATGCCAAGTTGATGTCTGGGAAAAGCGGCGCGCGAGGAAAAAGCGCGTTTCGCTCGGAAACGGAACATCGAAAACTGTTATAATGGAGAGTGGCGGGAAATTTGACTTGGCAATCGCCGATGTTGTTATCCTACAGTTCCTAAGTTAGTGGTAATTAAGTTTGTGGTGTATGCTCTGGTTAGCGATGGTTAACTTGGGAGTTATGCAGATGCTATCTGAAACGTCTGACTCTTCACAAGATTTATCCAGTCGCTTGACGTATTACCTTAGCCAAGAACTTGAAGAAGGTTATCTTTTTGTACTTTGTAGTAATGTATAAATTTGTACAGTAGTAATGTAAGTTATATTTATCTATTTATTCAAAATTTTTAAATTACAATATAAGGAGTGCACTAGGCAGCGTTATGTTGATAGCGTGCACACCAAAAACCGGTATATGATGTCATTGTGTGTGGTTTAGCATGATAACTTCAGAAGACATAGATTGATGAGATTTCGACATGATTAGATTTTGGGCTCCCAGGCGGGTTGTTTTGTATCACGTACGGGTTGTTTGTTTGTTCCAGGTGTTGTATGATGGGAGAGCCGCGGTACACGATCGAGCAGATCGACTTGCTGCAGCGGCTGCGCCGGACGGGACTCAGCAAGGACGAGATTCTGCAGGCGCTCGAGACCATGGAGAGGCTGGACCGCGAACACGGGAGTACCGTCGCTCCTCCGGTACATGCAAGTACCAACAGGTATATAATAATATGGCATCTCTTACCATCCTAGAAAATACATTTTCAAAACTGCTCAAGAAGTCTGACTACTGATACTGAAAAAGGGACCAATAAAATCTGTTCTATATGTGGGTGTGTGGCACGTAGACAGGTAGTCACTAAAGAGAAAATTCCTAATGTTTGAGTCAAAGTGTGGTTAAAAGGGGAAAACAATGCAAGGAACCAACAAAAAGCCGTTACATTGTCCAGGCAGATGGTCCTTACATGTGTGTAGTGGTTTTGTTGTGAATTTTGATGATGGTATAGTCGAAGAATGATAAAGTTGGAAGTTGCACCAAGTGATTCCTATCCTTTACCATCATTCTTGAAGTAAAGACATTTGATTTCTTTCAACATCCACTATCCCTTCAGGACCATGCGATGGAACCTGAAGACCGAAGGTGAGATTGTCCCGGCTGCCAGCCCGCCTGTCTCCAGCCCACAGGGGGCACTGGCAGCTAACGGAACAGCCGCCCCCATGGAGCAGCCCAGGCCACACAAGGACTGTGTGCTGTCAGAGGAACAGATCCAAACTGAAGTGGAAATCATGCTCAAGTAAGAACTTAGTCTCCAGGATCTCTCCAGTATGATGGTGCTAGTGAGCATGTCAGTAGAACGTACTGCACCTGCATGAAACCTGTAATGTGTGGTGGCTTAAAGCACTTATGTAGAACATCTCCTTTAAAGCTGTATTTGCATATTTAATTTAATAAGGATTACGACCCGTCTATAGTTTTCAAATGTTGTGTCAACAAGTGTAGTCTGTGGTATAACCTTTCATTAGCTTAATATAAGATGGGGTGTGCTCGACCTCTGTCCAGGTGATTTGAAGTATTTATTTGTAATTGTACAGTAATGAACAGAAGATCACAAAATGGCAGCTGTACTCACACACAAGCATTCCTTGTTTGGTTTGGTTTGTCTTCCTTTATTAAACACATCAAGACCGATAGTTTTCCCTTTTCGCCGTCTCCTCAGTAAGAATGTGGAGTCCGTGAAGGAGGAGCTGCGACTGTTCCTGTCTGAGCGCCGGATCTCGCAGGGCCTGATCAGCAGGTTCACCGGCATCAGCCAGTCCTACCTGTCCCAGTTCCTCACCCAGGGCCTGGACATGAGCGTCATCAAGAAACGCACACTCTTCACCTGGTACATCCGCGAGAAGTTCTCCAACTCACCCAGTAAGTACATGTATATAGAAGAAGTCAGGGCTCACAATACTACCACAAAAGTACCTGTTACTTAGTGCAGGTAAAATTGAAGCTGTGCAGGTATTTCTGATGTCTACCTACACCTAGTGGTAACCTGCCATAGAAGTCAAGCTGTTTTCCATTCTAGTTTCTAACAGGGAAAGGCAACAATTTAACTTGATAAAGTTCCTTTGTACTCACTCGTTCTAGGTATAGTTGTAGAAGATCAAAAGTCACTGTAGTTGAGAGCAGGTACAATGTAAGACAAAGGTGGGTTTCGGTGATGAAAAGACTACTAGCCCAGTTCCCTAAGGGTTGATAGATAATGCTGAAAGCTGCTGTACTTTTATTGTGTCCATGAAGATGTATCTATAACCATGATCAACCCCTGACAGTGTCGGCGCTTGACCTGACGGCAGCGGTGCCCAAAGCTGTGCGAGTCGCGGAGCACGTGGATGATGACCATGACTGGACACCTCACCTTCAGTTCAGGAGCAGCGTACACAGAAGAGGTCATAGGTGAGATTTGGAGTCTATTGTTTAACCAAGGCCCCAAGAAAAATGACAGTGGGAGTCTTTTGTCAGAGAACTGAACACAAATTTTCAACAATATAAAAAAATAAACCCAATTTTCATAGCTAAGTTCAAATTTAACACAATAAGTTTTATTATTTTTTTCTGACACTTAAATTTCTAGAATATGTACAGTGGTACAGTTTTATGTATATAACCCTACACAAATATCTATCTGCAGCAGTGCACCCACAGTTGAATGTTAGGTGCAAATTTTGGGAGCACAGAAGTGCAGTGTTTAGAGCCTTGAAGTCCTATCTTGTGTCCCCAGGTTTAACTGGCCTGAAGCCTGCATCACCATCATGGAGAAGTACTTTGAAGAGAACCAGTATCCGGATGAGAAGAAACGAGAGGAGATCACCAACGCCTGCAACAGTGTTATACAGAAACCAGGTACAGATACAGGATCCTTATTCATCAAGGGTTCTTGCTGCAGTTAGTGAGGGAAGCTGCCCACACTTGCATAAAAAAGAGCTGTCCTTGGTGCTGAATGACCATCACACTTAGCTGTCCTTGGTGCTGAATGACACTTCCACATAGATATTCTTGATGTCGAATGACCCTCACACATAGATATATCTGCCTTTGGTGCTGAATGATCCTCACACATACCTGGCTTCCTGCTCGGGCTGTAGTTAAACTGTTACCAAGGCTCCCCCTGTCTCTCCCCCACAGGAGTGGACCTGCCAGCCCAGATGTTGGTAAACTCGGCCCATGTCTACAACTAAAACCCCAGTTAACTCTTAGAAACATACAAAAGAGCTGGCCTTGGTGCTGATTGACTCTCACACATAGCTGGTTTGACTGTTATTACAACAGTTCACCATGTCTTTCCCATCCAGGAGTTGATCTGCCGGCCCAGATGTTGGTAAACTCTGCCCGCGTCTACAACTGGTTCGCCAACCGACGGAAAGACGTGAAGAGAAGGCAGTCAGCAGGTTTGACAAGTTTTGGGGTTAAAAGTAAATCTCTTTTCTTTATTCTGACTAGTTGATATATAGCAGTGTTGTACATCTGTTTTTGCATGCAGCAGGCTTTTAGCTAGGATTGTTTCAGAGGGTGCCCATAATTGTTCATTCTTCACATGCAGTATATTGTAAGTGGGAAAAATTTTTAAATTCATAAATCTCTTCATTTTATTTCAGGTACAAGTTTTTGTATTAGTTAACATTATATTTGACTTGAGGCTTGTGAGAAGTATGTGTATAAAAAGGGGGTTGTCTTTATGGTGTTCTAGCACTTCTGCTTAAAAGTAGGGTGTTTAATTTTCAGTACAAGGTTTTCCCCAGATGTCCAGATGCCCCTAGCTAAAAGCCTGCTTTGCGTCTAATTATTTAAAAAAGTGTTGAAGACTTAACAGTACTGTTTTCCACTTTATAGTTCACAACACCATGTCTCCGGTGCCAAGCAGTCAGTCCAACCCCCACCACCGAGTAGAGGATAGGGTCAGCCAAAATACAGACCACCACCCTGGGAATGTACTACAGGAACATGGTTGGTGTTGTAAATATATTGTTTTGGCTAAGCTGTGGGTTTGTGTGTTTGTCTGAACTGAGAGGGTTGATATATGAAGATTGGGGAAGATTGACAGGCAGAATGACAGAGGGTCATGGGGTCAGGATATGGGGTGATAATATTTAAGGTCCCAGAATATTTCTGAGAGCCTTAGATCTTAATTTATCAGTCAGAACACAATATTCCTTTATCGTTTCCTTCTTTGTGATGCTAATTCCATCACCCTCCTTGTTTGTGATCATGTGAAGCAATTTAACGCTTTCTACACATAAGTGTACTTGTTGGGTCCCCTTGGCCTCCAGTTTGCAGCAATTCTTGTTGTTCTGAGGCTGTCCATCCTCCATGCATTCATGTAACACATCTTCTCCTAGTAACAATTTAAGGTATTTATTGAGAGTAATTCTTGCCATTAAGCTAACCTCACCTTCACATTTCAGTAGAGCCGGAGCACAAGGAGGCTCACCAGGATCCCGTCCAAGTTGCAGTGGAGATGGCAGCTGTCAATCATGCCATCATGGCACTCGTCAATCAGCACAGCGAGGACATGGACCAGGGGGAGGAGCAGGAGGAGGAGGATGGGGAGTACAGCTAAGAGATGAGGAGGATGGGGAGTAAAGCTAAGGGATGGGGAGTACAGCTAAGGGATGAGGGGGATGGGGAGTACAGCTAAGGGATGAGGAGGATGGGGAGTAAAGCTAAGGGATGGGGAGTACAGCTAAGGGATGAGGAGGATGGGGAGTAAAGCTAAGGGATGGGGAGGATGGGGAGTACAGCTAAGGGATGGGGAGGATAGAGAGGACAGCTAAGGGATGGGGAGGATGGGGAGTACAGCTAAGGGATGAGAAGGATGGGGGGTACAGCTAAGGGATGGGGAGGATGGGAAATACAGCTAAGGGATGAGGCCATAAGGTTCAACTGTAATTCACATTGTCTTCACAGTACTAAAATTTCAGGGTCTGAGAAAAATGGACATGTTCACAGAACATGGGGGAAAAGACAAATGATGGGCTAATGAAGTACTTTGAAAAAAAAACGGAAGTAGTAAAATGTACACTATTAAGGATTCAATGAAAGTTTTAACCCTTAGCACCCTGTAGTACCAATTTGGATGCCAATTGCCTGCAGCAGGAAAATACATTTGGCGAGTGTATGTAAAGGAAATGTTATCAAGGGTTCTTCAAGTTTTTTAACGAAAGGTCACGATAAAATCATGATTATATCTTTATTGCAAATCCATGCCTGAGGGCAAATTGCAATCAAAAGAAAAATGTAATTAACTGATTGTAACAGGAAAATGCAAATGATTAGGGTTGAGTAAAGTTGGAATTAAGTGCAGAAAGATACCAGAAGTACATTCTGGTACATGTATATGTAGTTGGAAAGACAATTTGTGACACCAGAGTGCTCACACTCTATCTTAAGATATGTTGCATTAGATTTTGTACTGGTTAACCCTTGTACCTAGTACCTAGGAACAGGACCTAGAATCACACTAATACAACTGTTGCATAACTTGTAAGGCAAATACTTATAAGTGCAAGTAAACTCTGGGTTGATAGAAATACCCATTAGTGGGGAAATGTTATTGTTAGTTAGCCATGGGTGCTGCCCACGTTTTTTTTATCTCTAAAGTTTAACAGATTTTCTCAGACATTCCTAAATGTAAGTACGGCATGAATGTAGAAATCACAGATTTGTTTCAAATCCTAGATTTACTTGTTTTGTGCCATGATTCATGAAATCGGTTTCTATGAACTGAAAGTAGAGCTGTGTACCTAAACAGATTTTAGGTACAGGTACAGGTTCAGGTACACAGGTTTAGGTACAGGTCCGGACCTGAACCTGTACCTGAACAATTCGACCAATTTATATGCTCTTCTGAACTCCTTCAATAACAAAAAAAAACATGAATAAACTTGATAGTTAAGGTTTATTCTTTGTTTATGGCGAATGCTCAGATAAAATATAGGCTATATATATGTTTTTGTTTTCATGAACACACTGTCCTTACACAGGGACCCATTGTTAACCAGCTATTTACACATTTGAGGTCACAAATAGGCATAAAATTGGTGTGAAATTGTTTAGGTACAGTACCGGTACTGAGGGATTAGGTATTTTGGACCTGTACCTAATCAATTTTACCGGTACAGTATCGGTACTGCGTACCGGTACACAGCTCTAGCTGAAAGAAAGCATTTTTTACATCATGCTAACTGGTATTTACTGGAGATCCTAGATTGAAAACTTCCAGTAACAAAGTCTGAAAATTTGAAGGAAATTTTACTGCAATTTTTTGGAGTCTCCAAGAGCAATACTTTTGTATATAAAGATCAAAGTGGCCCCTTCTGCTCTCCCCTCTAGATATACAATGTGCCAAGTCTGAACAAGGAAGGTGTAACTGTCAATCAATCTGTAGCTTCTCTCATTGGTTGAACAACAGACCAATCAATGGCCTGCACATTGAGTGGTTGTGGCCTCAAAGTGAGACCTAGCCAATATATCTTGGTCCTGGTTGAATGTTTGTCCTTTTGTAATATTCGTAACCTAATGTGGAACCCAACAATTCAAACATGTAAAAATCTTAGTGTCTTTTTTTTATTTCAAAGTTCTAGTGTTGTGAGCAGGGTCTTGAAGGTCCCAATAGTATTATGTACATTCAAGTAGTGAAACTGCAGAAATGTCGTTTACAAACTAGTGAGGATTTTAATGTGTTTACTAAACAAACAAACTCACTACCTCCTTTTAGTATTTGCACCAGATACTTACAGGTATCTGAATGCAATAGATTTTTCCTACTACCAGTAATATTAATGTTAAGATGGTCGTATGTTGATAATCATAAATGTGCTAATGTTGTGATGTAAATAGTTTAACTATAGAAAGGCGTCTGTATTTTGTATGTTAGATGGTGCATCATTGTCTAATATCTAAGCCCCATGTTGGAACTAGATTTTTAGTTTTCATTTTTGACTGGTATTATGATGCCTGTCCAGCTATTGGAAACCAGGTTGAGTGCAAGATGCAACTGTAAATAATTTCTATTCAACTTTCTTTGTCTCATCTGTGATACACAATGTTTGTTATTTTTTTGTATTGTTGCACGTTATTTAATGTATTATTTATACGTATTGTGTAAGTACATTTTAGTCATGTTAGAACTTAAAGAATATTGCGTATATATTTCTGTCCGTGAAATGTTAACTTTGGGCAAATGTGCCCACCTTATGTTACGAAGACTGGAAAAAGCAGTCATTAGTCCAGTATGTAAGTTTTTACATGCTGTAACTGAAAAATGTACATTAAACCTGATCGGCATTGAAAATGTATTTCATGAAATGTTTTCGTCAGGGTTTTTTTGTCTTCTTCGTGCATTGTGTCAATTCAGAGTAAAAAAAAAATATATGTATATATGTACAAATTTGACTCTTACTAATTGTGTGTATTCCTTATTTTTACACAATCAACATGTGACATTATAGAATTTACAGAAAAATAGACCCTATACATTGGAAGAGTTCGGAACTTTTAGGCATCTATATTCTTATTGCATCATTTTCATATTAAATCAAGAGTGACTGGTTATAGGCCATGCCCTTTTCTGCATTCAACTGCAATGTAAAAGGAACTATCGCAGGATTCATTTACACCTCGTCAAATGCTTGTCCGTTCGCATGCAGTACGGTTAAGGCTGACAGGGGGCGTTTTTCAATGAAATGATACCGGAACTTGCGAGGTGTCCACCCCCTTAGAATATCGTCATGTAAGCATTTGCTGCACTGTTGGCGTAGTCTGAAAGGAGGCGCTATGGTAGGTTCTTTAGGGAAGTGTAGTCTCTACCAGACTAAAAACGCCGGTTGAAAAGTAGTGAAAATTTAGCCAAATGTTGGCTACCAAAAAATTAATTTTCCCGATGGAAATAAAGCAGTTCACTCCCCTGGCCAGTTACTGACCCTATAGTTGCCGAGTCTTAGCATCCATAACCTCTCTTAGTAATGCCTGGCAGAGGCTAAGGCTTCAGAAGCGGCTGGAAAGAGTAGAAATTTACCATATACACGGATAACATGCTAGTGAGTCAGTCCGCCGAAGGAGCGGCAAATTTAAATCCTAGGTTAGAGCATGGACCTCCATGGTTAGAAACGTCCTCTTGGATTGGACGTAATGCCCGAGGTCCCATGTTCAAGGAGAGCAACACCTCGAGCACATTAAACATCCCACCACAACTACCGAAAACACCTTACAGTCTGGCCTGTGGGTTGCTGGAAAGGTGATAGACACTTGTCATGTTAATCAAATAAAGTAGCGTCTCTAAATCTAGGACAATATAAACACACAGCGTTCAGACTTTTATAAATTAGCCGTCCGTGTCTAGATTCTCCTCTGTGCCAGTGCATACTGATACCTAGCCTGGCCTAGACGGGTCTTAAGTCTGTTGGGAAAGTGTTCGTGTTAGTCTACTATTATGTCTGTTATTGCCTGTGAGGCGCCACAGCCACAGGAAATACTCTCCTACTCGCAGATCATTAGGTTTCGGCTTATTTTTGAAGCGTTTAGGTGATTTTATGGGGCTTCTTTTTTGTACTGTTATCATTTTTTGCTGGTAGCACTGTCTTGTCTGGTCAATTGATACTGTCTTGCAGCCACCAGAAGATCTGTTTGGAAATTAAAAATAAACGCAAATTGTTAGTTTGTAACCCTTATGTGACAGTTTTCTGACGGCGGCTTCGCAATAACTAAAATCAACGCGTACGTGAGTTTTGATTTGAAAGCAATGCATATTTACTACTAGTACTGCGCGATATATAACACTATTCAAACGAGTACGCACGAGCGCGCAACACAAAATGTAGTGATCGATTGGTATCAAAGCATGGCAGCCGCACTGAGCATCAAAAGCGCGTTAAGGTAATCATGAAAATTCATCTCGTATGGAAGCCGGCATCTCCGTTATTATATAAACACTCATGTATGTGATTAGTATTCATATCCTAGGTGCTGTTTTTACAGAAAACATTTTCTAATAAATTGTTGTACAAAAGGTAACATTTTTTACACTTTTACAAGTAGGACCAAATTTCTATAACTAGTTGTAAATTCGATAAGCAATGTTAAAATTGTTCGGCTTAACCAAGATTTTACTGTTTTTAAATGACACAGATTCACCTTCAAACGCCAAGCTACGAATTTGTTTGGGTTGATTTTTGCTATGCACAAGATATATTTCCCTGTTGGGTCGATGCTACACATCAAAAGCCCCTACCGGGCTGAATATTTCCCATCATAAGCGCGATCAAACGGTTATGAAATGAAATTAATTCCAAAAATATGTTTCACTATGTTCAAAGTTTCCTCGCCTTTTATTTACCGCCGCTTCAAATGGCACGACCCGGCCGATGACGTAGGCTTGTAAAATTTAATTATATTCCCTCCCGGTGCCACTTGCGCGCTGGGCGTTCAAAATATTGACGTCCGATTTAAGTATCCTCAAAATTCCGACTTTTGCGCGCAAAACGTGGAGTTTGCAAACTTCGGTGGCGTCGGCCGACGAGTGGGTAAGTTTATGCACGCAGTTTTATCGATTTAAACCCGCAAATGGTGGGTTTATTTACAAAAATTACAGATAATAGTCGACGTCGCCGGGGGCGGGCGCCATATTGAAGAAAGGTCTTGGCTGTTTAAATTTAATCCTGTTTTTTCGGACAGCGAAGCTTCCCAGCGCGGGTCACGGCGAAATTTGAGCGGGAACGGCCACATGCAACCTTTCCCTGGGCTGTTTCACGTGTTTTAGCCACCAAAGAGCCGATTTTGTGCCGAAAATCGCGCCGTACGCCGCGTATTCTGGGCCAAAATTGCACAGGGGGAATTCAATTACTGTTAATAGCTTTAGCCGCTTACGTCTGCTTAATATTAAATAGGCGATACCATCTCGGCTACCGATGGGGGTGGTCAAGTCCCGCGCCAATAAATTTGTCCCGGCGTGCGCTCGACGCATGTTTGGCAGAAATAGTTGTGTAGCAGTTATGACGACAACTATATCGTAAACAATTAGTAAAAACTAATAAGTACAGTTCCTTGTCTCGTATTGGCCAATATCAGTTGAAATTGCGGCAAAGGATGTGAGGAAAATGCGTGCTGCAAAAATCAATAGAAATACTGCATTACAATCAATAGGATCGGAATATGATTCACATAACTCTCAGGGGTGACTAATTGATCATTAGAAAAGAGCGAAAATTTGTCTCTATTACTGTCTGCATGAGTTACAAGTGTGGAACAGCTTTGGCTGCTTATGAATAATAATCGAGGCTTATAGATCAGGATTTCTGTGTATCTGGCTATTACCATCTTTAACCTCCCATGAAAGAATTATCTACATAGATGCTAAGCATCACTTTAAAAAAAGCATAAGATTGTAAATTTGAATATTTCTACTCTATGTGTCTTTCTTTTGTCATGTCATAATGATATCCTCACATTTTATTGCTGTAATCTTGGGAAGCATTTCTACAGTGACAAAGTACTTGCATGTTGCATGATATTAATATTTTTCTGAAACTAAAAATGGAATAGATCAAAATGTTGTGCATATTACATATTCCTTGATTTTTTGTTATGTTTACCATCTAGGGAGGAAAAGATATTGTTTTTGTTCTGTTTCTTATTCTCCAAACACAAAAGGTCAATAACCTGAACCAGACCACTGTCACCATGGTGACTAATGCTGTATCAGAAACCCTGCAGTGTTGGGTTACATTATGTTGCAAGTTGCAGGGCAGAGTTGGAGGAGAATATGAATGGAGTTAAAGAATAAACAGAGCAGTAGTTTGTTACAGTAAGTAACTCTAGATCATGTGGAGGTAAACATTATGCGTTTGTTTTGCAAATGTTTATTTATTTCTTTATTAAATGTTACCTTTCTTGTTCCCGCTCAGTATTTGTGCCAAGATGGCCACTACGGGAACCGAGCCGCGGTTCACCCTGGAGCAGCTGGACCTGCTGATGCGTCTGCGCTCAATCCTGCAGAGGCTGCAGCAGACCGGCCTGTCGCAGGACAGCATCTTCCAGGCGCTCGGCACCATGCAGCGCATCGAGACCGTCAACACGGGCATCTACGGCATGTCCCCACAGGTCAGCCAATGCAGCAAAAATGACTTCATTTACCACATCCCCCATACTGAATATGAATCTATCCACCTCCTGCACAATTATGAATTGTTCCTAAATCACCTCTGTCCAAAATGTGAAGTGTTCCAATATAGTAGTCGACGTCTGCAGGAATGGAATATTCCAACACATTTTGTTCTATTTAGAACTGTCAGTTGGAAATTTGGGTTTTTAAGCTTAAGAAGTGCTGTTTTCACTTGTCTTAAAATAGCAAAAAAAGTCCCATTTTACACAATTTTAGGTGCCAAACATGTAAATAACGTTCTGTGCACTGCAGGTCAGCCACGTGACCATCCAACCTCAGCTGGCTGCGAACCCGACGCAGTTCATACAGACGGCGCAGAACAACCTCTTCCCGGCAACGTCCATCGTGACGGTGCCGCAGGGGGTGGTGGTGGCGAACGGAACAGCCCCGCCCCCTCCGCCTGCTGCCGTGGTGAAGGTGGATTCGGGGGGAGGAGCGGCGGCAACCGGAATGCTGCAGGCCAAGGACATCCTGAACACGGACACTTCAGCTGAGTCAATCACAGAGGAGGACCTGGAGAAACAGGTGGAGGAATTGCTCAGGTAAGACATCTTCTTTTGGATCCATCATTACGTTTACCTCCACAGAATGAAAACACATTGCTTTTGCTCTGTTTCGTCCTCTGCTTCTCCAACAAATATTAAAGGTCAGTGACCTGAACCTGGTGTCTGTCACCATGGTAACTGGTGATGTAGCAGACACCCTTTGGTATTTGATTACAGTAAGAATAATATTTTAGATTTTAATGATTTCAAGTGGTATGCAATACTTTTCGTCAGTGATTTAGGAAAGGACTTAAACATTTTCAAATACCCGTTTTCCAGCAAAAACATCATGGATGTGAAAGAGGAAATCAACAAGTTTCTCCACGTCAAGGGCATTCCCCAAGGTCGTCTGGCCCAGGCTACCGGGATCAGCAGCAGTTACGTGTCCCTGTTCCTGAAGCAGGGGCTGGACATGACGGCCATGAAGAAACGAGCCATCTACACCTGGTTCTTAAGGCAGAAGCACAGGAAACCAGGTGGGAATATGTCATTCTCATCATTTACTATAGATTTTTTAGCTATGTTGGAGGGCAGTTCAGCACCAAGGACAGCTATGTGTGAATGTCATTCAGCACCAAGGACAGGTATATGTGAGGGTCATTCAGCACCAAGGACAGCTATGTGTGAAAGTCATTCAGTACCTGGTACAGCTACGTGTGAGGTTAATTCAGCACCAAGGACAGCTAAGTGTGAGGGTCATTCAGCATGAAGGATAGCTATGCACGAAGGTCATTCAAAGGACAGTTATACATAAACGTCATTCAGCACCAAGGACAGCTATGTGTTAAGGTGATTCTGCAACAAGCACAGTTATGTGCACTATGAGTGCAACCTTACATTGTATGTACCCTCTTGTTTTGGCCGTTTTGACAAGTCTCATTCAGTGTCCATATCAGAGCATTTTCATTCTTTGGTCACCCCCCCCCCCTCCCAGGCCCACTTCCCAACGCAGGTGGCTGGAAGTGGCAGAAGAAGCGCTCCCTTGACGACCCGGATTACGACCCTGCCCACAGCCCCGGCAACCAGCGCCGCGGGTCCAAGTTCCACTGGCCGCCGTCCGCGGTCATGATCGTGGAGAAGTACTTCCAGCAGAACCCGTACCCCACCGAGGGGGAGAGGGAGGAGATTGCAAACGCCTGCAACGGTGTCTTACAGAAACCAGGTAAGACTGAAAAGTGAAAATGATCTCAAACCAGTTCAGCTGAAGTGAACATTTGACTGGTCATGACAAAGAAGTCAGACAATATGTACAGTAGTAAGCAATGGACTGTCAGTTCCAACATTGGGTAAGGTAATTTTATAAAATATCCATGTACTACATACTTTGTAAACCCATTTGTAAACCCATGTTGATATTGATCGTTATCAAACCCATCTTTACTATGGTATGAAACTTCAACTCTCATAATATACTAGCTTAAATGCAACAATACTCTTGTCGTAAAAGTAGGAACACATGTCCTCTTGTTCCAATTGTGAGATATTGCTAAGAATATGAGGTGTTCGCTGAACATAGGTTTTTGGAACATCCATGGCTTAGGGAAAAAACTTATGGAAGATAGTTTTAGAAGTAGCGTAGACAATCTAGATTTCTTCTCTCTTCTCGAAACCTGGAGCAACGAATCCTCAGAAATAGACATTCCAAATTTCCATCACTTTTCATCCTTAAGAAAAAAACATAGAAGGGCAAGAAGAAACTCTGGTGGGATAATCTTTTACTTCAGAAAAGAATTGACAAAGTTTATAAGAAGAGAACACTCCACATCGGATGACTTACTCTGGGTTCGAGTATCAAAAGACTTGTTTGGACTATCAAAAGATGTTTTTATATGTACGGTATATATAAGTCCCTTATACTCAAATGTCCACAAAAGGGCGGATGATTGTATTTTTGATACCCTGGAGAGGGATATAGCGACTTTTAGCTCCAAAGGCTATATTATTTTAGGGGGAGATTTCAATAGTAGGATAGGCTCTCTACAAGACCTCACCGAGGACCCCTTTGACCCGGATTTTGAAGAAGAAATTCCCCTTCCTAACCCAAATATCCCCAGAATTAATTCTGACAGAACCCCCCCAAATCCCTTTGGTAAGAACCTAATTCAACTATGTTCCCATTCAAACCTGCGCATTCTAAAACGGTCGCATCCTGGGCGATCTAAATGGAAAGTACACCTGCTACCAGCCTAACGGCTGTAGCACGGTGGATTACGCCATTACAAGTAGCGCACTTCTTCATAACATTAATGTATTCAAAGTTCACGAATTATCAGAGTTTTCGGATCACTGCTTGATAACTTTAAATATAAACACGCCACACTGGCACATTCAGGATACGAAAACGCGCAAAAGTAAATTAAACCCTCTTCCCAACAGGTTCATCTGGGACTCAAATTCAAGTGAAAATTCATTCAGGCTTTATGTAGTCCGATGATATCAGAAAAATTAAATAACTTCCTATCACCTGGACAAGATGTCACATCAACAGGTAACTACATTGATGAGGAAGTCAGTAAATTCCAGAAAATTCTAGAAATGGCCGGAAGGATATCATTAAAAGTAAAAGATAACAAAAGACACAAAGGACCAAAACAGAACAAAAATGGTTCGACAAATCATGTTATGAGGCCAGGAAGAACTGCGAAATCTTAGATACCTTCTTATGCACAACCCAAAAAATCCGTCCCTAAGAGGAAGTTACTTTAGAAAAAGAAGGAGTTCAATAAACTCATCCGAAAACGCAAACGAGAATACGAAAATAACTGTCTGATGCGCCTACAAAACCTCCAAGAAAACAACCCCACCGCCTTCTGGAATTTACTCAAAGAACTAAAAAAGACCGAACCAGTATCACAGGAAGATCTACCAGCCGACACCTGGGTCGAGCACTTCAAAAACATTCACAGCAAATCCAGATTAAAACAAGAAAACTTTGATCATAACTTTGAAATTGAAATTTTGCGCAAACTTCAGGCACTCCAAAAATATAAGCCAAGTCCAGGACCCTTGGACCAACCAATCACTGCCTCTGAAATTAAAGATGCAATTCACGCCCTCAAAAACAAAAAAGCCAGCGGGGATGACATGGTCACCAATGAAATGCTGAAAGCAGGAAAACATATCCTATTAACCCCTCTCTTAAGACTTTTTAATAGTACCTTCTCATCAGGAATTTTCCCCAAAATGTGGTCGAGAAGTTACATCGTCCCCATCTTCAAAACAGGGCGAAAAGACGACCCAAACAATTATCGTGGAATAGCCATTTCCAGCTGCTTAGGAAAACTTTTCTCCTCGATTTTAAACAAAAGACTTTCAACCTTCCTCGAAGGAAAAGAAATCACAAAACCAAACCAAACCGGATTCCGAAAAACTATAGGACAGCAGATAACATCTTCATATTAAAAACCCTTATCTCCAAATACACACAGTCGGGAAAACGATTATTCGCATGTTTTGTCGACCTGTCAAAAGCTTTTGACTCCATTTGGCACGAGGGACTTTTATTCAAGCTTCTTTCCAATGACATGTCAGGCAAATTTTTCGATGTAATTAAAAACCTATACAACCAATCTGAGGCCAGTGTTAAAACTAAAGAAGGCCTAACTGAAAGTTTTCCCGTTGAAATTGGTGTTCGCCAAGGATGTGTTTTAAGCCCAACCCTATTCAACCTATACATCAGTAATCTCATAGATAAACTCAACGCAGAAAACCTAGACGCACCCCTACTAGAACATTCCAAAGTTACTAGCCTCTTTTATGCCGATGATATCGTCTTATTATCGGAAAGTGAGCAGGGATTACAGAAAGCAATAAACACCCTTGGACGGTACTGCAAACAATGGAAGTTAACTATCAACCTGGCAAAAACTAAAGTAATGATATTCAACAAAAGAGGCCTCTTATTTTCTAACCTTCGTTTCTCACTAGATGATAAAGAGATAGAGATAGTTCAATCATACTGCTACCTAGGAGTTGTGTTTACAGCAGGATGTACATTTAGCACTGCCATGAAAAATTTACAAAAGAGGGCCCTAAGAGCAATGTTTAACATCAGAAGTACTCTCGGAGAAACCAGATCCTCTGTATCATTACACTGTAAACTGTTTGACACATGTGTTGTACCGATATTACTGTATGGCTCCGAAGTTTGGGGCAGTAACAGTTTGAACGACAAATCGCCATTAGAAACTGTACATCTGAAATTTTGTAAATACATTCTTGGTGTCCGTAGGAACGCCAGTAACTTCGCATGTAGAGCGGAACTAGGACGTTTCCCCTTACAGATAGAGGCCCATTGCCGAATGTACAATTACTATTTTAGACTAGTTAACGAAGTGCTCCCAAGTAGTTTACAATATGAAGCCTATACAGTACAACAAGAGCTAGTTCGCCGAAATATACCCTGCTGGTTATCTGATGTAAAGAAACTGTTAGAGGAGTCCGGTTTTGCCTACCTGTATTTAAACGGTCACTTAAACACACCCTCCCATCTAAAAGAACTAAAACAGAGATTGAAAGATATCCACATCCAAAAGTTCTACTCAGAACTACAAGCAGAAGGACGAAGAGAAAACCAAGGCAACAAATTAAGAACATACAAAACATTTAAACTGAACTATGAAAGAGAAACATATTTAAACATTACAAACTTCGAACATCGAAAAACCATGTGCAAACTTCGTATAAGTGACCATCCCTTACATATAGAATCCGGTAGGCACAACCGTACCCCTCTGAACGATAGGACGTGCGAATTCTGTGATCATCTATATGTAGAAAACGAGTCGCACTTTTTACTTGATTGTAGTTTATATGAAAATGAACGTAAGGTGTTATTTAATGTACTAGATTTAGACAAGAAATATAAGAAACTGTCCAAGCAAAATAGATTTATACATCTTATGTCAAGCAGAAATGAACACATTGTAGAAAAAGTGTGTGATTATATCAATAAGTGTTTCAAGAAGAGAGAAGAAACCAGAACCAAAAAATAGACAAACAGTAACTTTAAGAATTATGTAGTACTTAGAATCCTAGTATAGAACTCAAACATACATTATGTATGTATGCACCACATGTATTTTATACTGTGACAAAGCATGTATGCATTTAGCCCGTCTGGGCAAGGATATGCAATAAAGATCATTTCATTTCATTTCATTTCATAATTCTGCAGGGTTATGAAGTGTGCATACCTTGAGGATTACTGATGCTGCATTAAATTTTTATTTTTATGTGGTGATCTGAGGGTACCCACTTGAATTTGGAGAGTTGAAATTATATATTGTGCATGACCTACATGTACTTTGTAATTAGTCCAATTGTTATGAAATACATGTAGTTAACAGCATGTTTGCTGATTTTCCCTGTTCTCAGGTGAAGAGTTACCTGCCTACAAGCTGGTGAGTCCTGTCCGGGTCCAGACCTGGTTCATCAACAGGAGGAGGGAGGCCAAGATCAAACAACAACAGGGTGGGCCACAATTATAGCTTTCAAGCAATAGTTTTTATTTTATACCTACTTATCCTTCTACTTCTACCATCTGGGGTGTCGTGGGAAGTTGGCGTATGTCATTATGAAGGAAGTTTGAAGAAACTGTATTTTACAACACAAAAAATGGAATTTACTACTTCTGTGATATCACTTAATGCAATTAACATGGTGAATCATCCTTTACTATACTTCTACATGCTACAGTTGTACATGTGCATGAAAACCTGCCAGGTAGCCTGTAGTACACAACCTCAAGAGCTTGTGGCCATACAGATCTAACTATTCCCAGAACGACTTCTTGAGATCTACATTAAATTTGATAAGTCCCGCTAAGAATTTCATGGAATTAAAATGGATCATTATGCTCAAGACATATAAAAGAGCATGTGGCTCCCTCCCATCTAATCATCCTTTATGTATCTTGCAGAACAATATGCACAGGATAACGGGACCCGCCAGTCTCCGCGGTTGGAAGGAAAGGCGATGACTTTTCAGGAGGAGAGTGACCTGGACAGCGAGTCAGCGGAGTCTCCAAATACTGGAGCAGCGCTCAACACTGGCGAACAGAGCCAACTCACCGCCAACAGGCAAAACACTGAGGTAAGGTTTGATTTGATTTATTTGCGCATAGTAAAAGCAATTTGGTACATGTCTAATGTCTATATCTGCCTACACAGGTCAATTTGTTCCAAAAGTGACACCAAATCATCATCATCATAATGTGTAATATGGTTATGGATTGAATGTATTTTTTAGTATATGGATGTAACTGGTGTCACCAGCTCAAAGTGGATGAACTGAACTGAAATATTGCTGTTAGATGTTAGTCGCAATACCTTGTAGCATGTGGATTGTCAAGCAAAAAGGCCACACCAATTTGATTTGTTGGTTCTCGGGTGATTTTTTTGTAGGAAATCAATCAAGTGGGTAGAAAAGAAAACAGGCCTATGACAGCCCCAAATGGTACCATAGGAGCCAAAAGTTAACATACTAGGCTGGCTTATAATTCAAACTATGAATTTTGAACTTGAAATCAAATTACTACCTTGATAAAAAGCTAATAAAACTCTTGTATCTTCTGTCTAGTTTTTCTCCTTCTTGGACTTTGTTATACCCCAATCAAAATAGGAAGACAAGGCCATTCTTCAACTGTTGGTGCTAAAACATGAGCATTATGGGGTTGATTCAAATCAAATACATGTACTTTTTTTGCAAATCAGAAAAAAAGAAGCAGGCAAATCCAAGAACAAAGATGTTAAATTGGTATGGTAGAGTCCATTTATTTTTTCCCTCACCACCTATCCCCCCCCCCAGGACATGGACCCTGCCCGTCTGGAGGCGGAGCTGGCAGCTGTCAATCGATCCATCATGGTGCTCGTCAACCAGCATCAGGACGAGGAGACCGAGGAGAAAAAATTCAAATGGGAGGTCTCCTAACCTCCTGACTACTGTGTCAGCTTACTACAGCCAGCTGCTGCCTGCAAAACTGGTGTGTTACACTGAGGGGCAGTTATATCGGCTATACCAGCTATACAGATACAGATACTGCTGTATATGCAACCAGACTTACCGAGGATGCAGCAAAAGTTCTAAGCAGCAAGAGGGACTTAACAACAAACTTTACACATCAAAATCAGAAGAATGTGTTAGATGAATTTCTTCCAACTTCTTTCCCTTTTGCTGATGATTTGTTCCATACAAACACCTGTCCTCAAAGCAAGGATTTCTTGGACTGAATGTACAGTATATACATGTACTGTATTTATTTATTTATTTGCCAGGACTCTCTGGAATTTGACTTTGCCTACTATAAGTAATTATAAAAGTAGAAAAAGTTAGATAGATCATTTTAGAAAATTGACCAGAAATATGATTTGATAAGTTTACATCTAGATGTTATACACATAGACGTGTATAAGACAGATACCAGGCTAGGTTTATTAAAGGTCAGTGCACTGAAAACTACATGATGCTGAGATCTTACAAACTAAGACGTCGAAAATTGTGAACATTCAGTTGTTTGTCAAATGTATTTATTACATTACATCCCTTTGTATATATATTCAACAGCTGGCAGATTAAATGGTAAATCTCATGTGTTTCGATAAGTGTACATATAGTCTAAATCTCTTGATAAGGATTCATAGGTGCCAATTTTCCCCCATTTGGTAGAGGAAACATGTATATCACATATAGTACTGTACTAACATGCTATGAGAATTGAAACTGCCAATAGAATAGATAGCTATTTATTTCTGCCGATATGCCCATGACTTGGATATTGATTTTTGTTGTTTTATTTCTCAAAAACCTCAAAAACAGTGAAGTAGTACAATTGTTATTTATATGCCTTAGGCAACAATCTCATTAAATGTACTTTTGTATCAATGCCATTATCATCGGGTACAACTGTTTGTGCAATAAAGTCTGTGCTTAAAATGTACGAAGACAAAAGAGTAGTTTGATTATTCAATTGGACCCTGACACAAGAGTGACGCAGTTTTTTTTTTTAAATTCCAACATGTAATCACCAGACGTAGTGACGGCACACTCAAGTTTTTAAAACTTATATTAATGCCGCCACCAACACAGGGGACAAATACATGACAGGACATGACGCAGGTTTCGAACTCCTCTTGCAGTTCACGCTTTTCCGCCTGAGGCGCTGTTACGTCGGGCACACATCGAAACATCGATCGTCACCTCGGACATATTTTGACATAAAATTGCCCATGATGTCACCATTATAATATTCCTACACACCTAGCTGCAGATCTAGAAGTAATAAATAAACCATAAGATGTGCACTTTAACGAAGACAACCTGCTTAATTTCATAAATTCTTGTATAGCTTTGTCTTTTCATTTAAAACTACATACTATTGACAACGACTAACATACATGTACACACACAGAAAGGGTAAAACAAGGCTGAGGCAATAAAAATCATTGCCAAGGCGACGACTGAATGATATATATTATTTCATGTGGTGGAGCTAGCAATCTACATTACAATTATCAGAAAAACATATTTCCCTATGTTATAAAGACATGCACGTAGTGAAATTTACAGGCTGGGTGGAGGAGGTGTGGGGCAATATACCAAATACACGTATAGGAGGAATCAGCTGTTCTTCCCCAGCAATATAGATTTTATGATGACATACTTACTTACTTTACTTTGGTCGAGTTCCAGCTAGAACCAAACTGAAAACCATCCTCCACTTCACTCTATCCTCCACCAGAGACTGGATTTTATGTCTGGTCTGAAGTTGTTACTCCTTTGACTTTTTTTTACCTTTTGTGGGTTCCAAAAGGACGGATAATTTCTTTTCTCTCTGTGACATGTTTGAATATGGTCTAATTGGCCAAAGACAGCTGTGCTCTCTGTCCATGGTGTGGGGAGAAGACGGATGACCACTAATTAATCATGCCAGGCAGCTGGATGGGTGGCACGTGGGCACCCCGTGTAAGTTACCTGCTTGATCCAAAAACCACATGGCCGAAGGTTTCCTCCAAACCAATTCCCTGGGGAACGCATTCGTGCAATTTTTGAAATTCTTTCAAAGCGATCGTAGTACTTACACAAATGCCTCCGCCCCAAAGGCGTCGCCAATAAAGACCAAAGTCGTCAACAGTACTAGCACTATTCCAATCCGTGCGCACACAATATCCGTTTCACTTAATTCCGAATCCAACCTTAACCCTGTTTCCCATGTTTGTCCGCGGCTTTACCTGACCTGGTCAGAGATAAAACCGGCGGCCCCTTCAGTGGAGAGGTGTGCACAGGTGGGAGCTCCTGTGTCGGGCACACGGGGGCAGGGTTGACACAAGGGCTTAATTTGTGTGCTCGTACATATCACACCATGGGGAGAATACGTGTTCTGCGGAGACTAGGGACACATGTGCGGGCTTCATATGGCTGGACAGCTCCATAATTCATCCTTAGCCTGACTACATGTACATCACGCTTCAATTCTAGCATGCTCCTACTCCTAGCCTGACTATATCACACAGTTTTCTGGTAGCCCTTCTATTGCCCAGGGGAGGAGTTATGATCAGCCAGTTGTATCCAGCACCGTGCTTTATCCAGAACCATGCTTATGCACTGTCCTGGATAGTCCGCGCGTATCCAGAACCGTGCCTGGGGCAAATCTACGTTCTTGGATACGCGGGGACTATCCAGAACCTTGCCTAACCCTAACCCATTCAGGTGTAGAAAGATAGGCAAGATTCTGGACACAAAGCATATGACAGTAGGACATTGCGTGACTAGACCATACTCTTGTCAGAAAAGTTAGAATCCAACAGGTGGTTATCAATGTTACCAACTTTCTATAAAACACGGAAAGTCGCAGTATCATTTGTTTCATCTGGTTTTATATATATATTGGGGGTAAACAGTTCAACAAATTTGTCTATCATCTTTTGCAAATATTTAACTTAACAACTTAGATCTCAGAAGAGGGGGTCTTTTATTAATCTCCAAACAGACGTTTTTAGGCATTTTGCCGGGCTTCCTACTAAGTATTTTGTCAGCTGTAAACTGCCCGCCTAAAACGTCCAAAACAGGCCTCCCCTTAGCTTTGGTTGGAAAGTTTATCTCATCATCGTGGCGATTCTGCAATTCGGTCTGCTTCTCAAAGTCCACCTCTGGTCAGCTCCCTCCGGCCCCTCGGTGGCCTTATAATGAATTACAATACTTGTCTACACACATCCGGCCTGTATGACCCGTGTTGTTAGTATCAACACTGTGATTAATCCGAATCGCTGCCTGTGCAAATATTCCGGCCGCCCTTCACGACACAAGTGCTGTTTGACCTGGCCCATGCCATGCCACCCCTCTACGGACAACTGCCCTCGGTATATACGGGGAACGACCATTGATAGTGAGCGGGGGTGGTTGTGTTAAACTTTGCCAAACTCTCGTGACAGTTTTAGATTTATCGTAAAGACTGGAAAGAGCTTAAAGCACAGAAATGAAAGCAACACAGTGAAACGTTTATTTACCACGTGCACACTGGCAGTGCCAACAAGCTAGCTTTGTTTCATCTGAGACCCTGCGAAATATATTGTACGTCAAGCGAACCTTCCCCGCTGCCCCAGAGGCAAAACTACCTTGTTGTAGTTAAACAGTGCGCCAACTTAGTAGTGGGTCCTTCCTTTGAACTGTGGACGTCCCTTTGTATCGCTGTGACGACACGATAGCGGGGAAACTATCCGAAAACAGTCGTGTGCCGTTGGAATTTCTCCGTCGTTTTGCCGAGACGTCAGTTGAACAGGACAGGCAGCTGGGCTACTTCGGAACTTTCCTGGTTCTTGTTTGTTGTACCAACGTATCAGGTATTACCACAATTCTTCTATATAATCCTTTGGCAAGCGGTGGACAAAAGGGACTGACAATTATTGCGTCACATCAAGGAGGATAAAATAAGATTTAGACCTCCTTGATCGTATGCTTGTGTATGTAGTCTCGTGAATATAAACGTTGGGCCTAGACTAGAGGAGAAAGCACACACACTAGTAACATCCCCTTTCCACTAAAGGCTACGACCACTGCGCTACCAAAAATTTGATAGATTTCTCAACGAATTTCATAGACAAAGACCGGTTTCTTGTACGTTTTATGTGTTTTATCTTTTAAATCATACGTGCTTCGTGCATCATATTCCAATTGTAAAATCAACCGTACTGAACACAAATCCAATCTTGGTCGCTCAACGATCGTAGTCCAAAGGAAAACGTGGCCTAACTAACCAAAACGTGGCGCCAACCACAGTACTTCTACGTACTCGCCCTAAAATGTTCTAGTTCCATAGTCACGCGTATCGATCTCATACATAAATCATTCTTATCGTAATATATTAATTCATTCAATATACCGCGGCCGGTTCACTTCTAAAACAAAAATTGCTGACCGAAATGAAGGGCGCGACCGTTGTTTATTCGACAACACCTTAACATGTCGACGACGGCATTTGTTGTCATCGTCACTTATCGATTAGTTGTACTCCGTGTGCCGTTCTGTACACCCGAACACGTCAAAGTAATCACGTCGGACGGAATAATTGAATTGGCGATTAGTATCTAAGTGCATGCTTGTGACTTGTTAGAGATAATACCGTGTGACGACGACGCTATGCGTTACCGGCGTATTTGCTGTCGGGCTGTCATCCGCGTTTTCTAAATGGCGGCCATGTAACCTGCCAAACGGCCATCGGGAAGAAGAAAGCCGACAAGTTTTAGCTCTGTGTGTCGCTGCCATGGTACGAGAGGTGTAAAACGGCGCATTTGCAGCCATTTCTGTCACAAATACGACAGCGGAGGGCGTGTGGCGTTAGTAGAGTATGGGAGACCGCCTTCCGCGTTCTTTTCAAGTTGCAGTGCGCTGGTGGTCGATGGAAAGAAATAAGCAAGGTTGGCAGTCAGTTTATGTGGAAGAATGATCTCTGAGCAGATCTTTTGGTGGTCACAAGACTGTTTGCAACACAGTATCAAATTGACAGGACAGTATCCAAACCAAGGTTTGGCTGGCAAAAAAGTTCCGTGAAAAAGAACAGCCGGATAAAAATGCATAAAACACGTCGACAATAAGCCAAAGCCTAAACCTCTGCTTTGACAGTAGTTTAAGAATCCTTCGTGTGCTTCTTTCTGATCACATGACTTCCAGGACAAACAAATATAAAAGGGAAATGTTTGAAAACCAAGGACTAACATTCACATATCGCCTTCTTACGGACGTCCGAACTAATGTGAGTTGTCTATTGACATGACCTGACCACCCATGCAAGGGTGTCTTTTATCATGATAAGGAACTGTTTGAAAGACGGAGTCACCGGATACAAGATGCTCTTTGTCTTGTTCATTTAGTTTCAGTGACATGTTTTATCGTTTTATCGCTGTTGAGTGTTGACTGAGCGCTTAAGCGTCCTCCATTCATCAATCTGGAATGGGAGTTGGTCACCTTTTGTGCCCGTGTGTAAAGAGGTCAAGGGTTCTTTGAGGTGAATGTGCGCGGAGACAAGATTCCTGGTGTTGAGTTTATATCGATCTATTTGCCTTTAGCAAACTATTCTTCCAGCAGCCGTAGCCTCTCCTTAGCAGACTTCAATGTTACTACGAATGTGTGTGTGTGTGTGTGTGTGTGTGTGTGTGTGTGTGTGTGTGTGTGTGCGTGCGTGCGTGCGTGCGTGTGTGCGTGTGTGTGTGTGTGTGTAGTAAAGCCTGCTAAGGATATAAGCTCTACCAGGCTTCAGAGGCGACTGGAAAGAGTTTGCCGGTTTGCCATTGGAGCAACGTACCAAAAATTGTTAACAGACCGCGTGTTATGTTGTCACTTCTAGAAAAGATTTAAGACGACCTCTGGTAACCTCTCCCTACGCGATGAAGCACCTTTCTTGTAGTGTTTGTTTTAAGACGGTCGGCAGCATCCGCTAGTGTGTCTAGTGTGGCGCCTGTGTCAGGCGTATATCTCTTGACTCGCAGAGTTCAACAGTGCATAAATGTGTGGAATTGCACTGGGCGAGAGATGTAGTTTTCACATTGGCCTGCAGAGGTCGTTGCTAGACAGTGCGAGACTTTGTAGTTAAGACGGAGACTAACTCTTGACAATGTTGACAATCATCAGCAATAGCAAATTGCGTGTACATATCTGGAGAAGGCACGTATTTGCCATATAGATCTAAGTTTTCTACAGTTGTTTGCAGACAATACAGTTGATATGTACGAGTATCCGTCTGTATGGCAGCATAGTGTGTTTGACAAGAGCTAGTATGGGTCTGTGACAACACAGTTCTTATTGTAGCAAGGCGAAGAAGTTTGTTTGTTTTCGCCCTGAACAGAGCGCCAGGTCAGGTCGGTAGCCAGCGTACAAACAGGAACGTGCTTTGACAGAGTGTGGCCAGATGGGTGGTACAAGTTATGTCGGACGCATACATGTTCGGAAGAGCGTTTCAGGAAACGTGTGTTACAAATTGTGAGTGTGTAGAACTTAAGCATTCGTCAGTTTTGACATCCATCCGTTGAACCGTCAATCTGTCCATCATTCAGTCACTCCCTCATTCATCCATTGATGTACTCATTTATCAATCTATCAATTTATCCATCCATCAAAGCGGCACTGGACAGATGTTCACCGATTTCAAGGAACAGTTTTGAGAACAAACAGGGAAACACTAGACCATGTTACAGGTTCTAAATGGACTGTGACGATAGAAGCTTGTGGAGGTCCGACGAATAGAGTACTGTACGGATCGTACACATGTATGGCTGCATGGAAAAGCCTGTACCTACCAACTGTCACGCCTACAGTCAACTCAACGTTTACATTATAGGTAAGATTTTACTGCCGTAGTAGATTTATATTGATATCGTTAGACTATATCGATGTATAAGTGTTTACAATGGTGAGAAGGCAGCTCACGGACTAGAGAATAGATGCTTTCAGGGTCTATCACAGGGGGCTATGGTAAACTTTTCTCCGGGCCGGGCATATATATGCATGTTGTCCGTGGGGCCAGAAGGAGCTGGCCTCTGTATAGTAACAACTATAGTCCCTGGAATACAGGAGTCTAGCATCCAGGTTGTAGAATATATATAGACTGATGCTTCTTAACTTTACTCATGCTAAAATAGTCTGACATACAGGCTAGAGAACAGACTGATGTCTGACTGACTGAGAACAGACTGAAGGCTTGCGTAAGCTCTCGTGATGATGGTGGTTGTACATACAGTTAGAACTGAACTATTCCGCGTACCACTTGTGTAAACGTCTGTCTCCCTGTAGGCCGCGCGGACGCAGAGTGAGACAAATGCTTGAACAAACTCTGAGATTTCTGCGAACAGCAAAGTGTGTGGGTGGCCGAAAATAGAGAAAATACGTCGGTCTGACTCGGAATTTATAATCACAAGAGCCGCTAAACCGGGCAAATGGCATTGAAAAGTGTGCATTGAACGTTCTTCAACATGAACCAGGGATGAGGGTGCCATGACACGTAGAAACACAGAAAAGATCGTACGTGTAAAAAGAGACCAACAAACTGACAGCAGAACTACCCAGACAGATTCCACTTCTTGGAGATAAGAAGAATTCCATTCAGGTGATTTATATGCAACCCTCTCTGGTGAAGAGGACGGTTACTCACAACATTTTATCCTGCAAAACTTAATAAAATATACACCCAGGCTCCTCCAGGCAAGACACGGTACCACTTAAGAGATCCCTGACTGTGATAAGTAAGACTTAAGACCGGGACGTTCCTGAGAGAAGGATAAATCAGGACGAGTTTGATGAGTGGTTTGATGTTCTTTGTTCCCGGGAGGAGCGCCTGTCGTGTCTGTGTGTGACAGAACCATTCGTCACGTGGGGGGCATGATGATACAAAGTCTCGCGAGAGGGCACGGTGGCGTGGGACCACGTCTTTGAGTTTAAGCGATTTCAGGGCAGTAAAACTGGATTTTTAATGTCAATTCTCTGATTAAATTATCTGCGAGGCAAAAATGGGATGTCGCTGACGGAAAACAGTTGCTTGTTTCGTATTGTAGGATAATTCTTAAGCTATTTATTGGTACCAACTTGAATAAATGGACTCCTTGGATGGCCTGTTTTGGGTCTATTTCAAACGTTTCCAGTATGAAATGATGACTAAAATGTGCTACGAAATGGCAGTAAATATCAATATCAGACAGATTTCATCATCCAGAGTATCTTTTGTATTGCCGCCCCGAACTTGCAAGGAATGCCTTTGAACCTAGCTAGACAGAACACCTATCTATAGACAATTTCCCAAAAGATCGAGTAAATGCAGACCAAGACTGTATTTAGCTGCGAACTAGACTTGGGGAGATTTCCTGCTTCCGCTTTACTTATACTACTTTAAGTCTGCGAAAGCACCATAGGGGTCAATTTTGACCATACTGGGCTTTAGATGGGAGTTGTACAGATATTTGAGATTAGCTTTTGTAACATCCACGAGAAAAGCTTACCGTTTTCTTGATGTTGTGTCATTTTACTGAACGTCCAAGGATCGAAACTGGATCGATTTGCGACGAGAAATACCAAATGGTGCAGAAAAGTATTGGCGGGTCTGGGTGACCCAAACACGGACGTGTTAAGCTAAGGTCCCAATTGGGAAAAGGGGCCCTGGCGGGTAGTTCCCGGGCTGTTTTTTACCACTTTCGGGCGGGACCCCGACGTGGCCCCGCGGGGCACCCTGCGGCTACCGGGCTATTTTTTGGCCCGTCGGGGCCCCGATAAGAATTTAATTCTGAGTTAAATTCTACCCGGGCCCCGCTGACAAAAAGACGCCGTGACCTCATCGTGAGAACACCGAGAGGTACCCCTC